ATGGCATCATTGATTGATTGATTAAATTTTATTTTTCAAAATTATATAATATTTTGTATAAGATTGTTAATTAACATGTTTCAATAATAGTAATTTGTGAAAAGATAAGATGCTAAATTTTGTACTTAACTGTCGAAAATATCTGAGAATTGAACAAAGCCAACTGTCGGAGCAATTGTCTCTCAAAAACTCTCTTGTATCTAATAGGAATTTCAAAATAAGCAAAGCCATTTTCTAATAAGTTCTTGTACAGTATAAGACCTGGATCCAGTCTACGATACTCTGAGCCTTCCAAGGACAAGCCAGTTCTATCAGGAGAGTACATTACTATGTGAGATGTAACAATATGAAGAAATGATAGAATGGCTTACCACTTACCGCCACCGTCCTCACAATAATTGACTCTTAGAGTTTTGAAGAGCAAGCGACCTGTTGACTTGCGACTCAACGTGGACCTTACGCCGCTGACGTAGGGTGCACTTGCATTCACACTTGGCGGAGCTTCGATCGGGGCGACAATTTGTGAACGTTTCTCATTCGGAAGAATATTTATGATCGTTGACGCACATTTCTATGATACTATTTTATGGAGAGTCGAGTTCATCCGAGATGATGCGCATCCACATCGGATCACGTTACAGGCAACAATCACATAGAGCCCACCGAGAGCGTATCTCCTTCTTCTACTGCTTACGCATTACCAATTAGTGCAGTGTTGATAATCATGTGAATGTTTAACTGTATCTCCTCTACGGGCTGGGGTGTCGATGGTCGCGTCTTCAGATTGTTTTAAAGATGGATGCGGGATAGTACAACTTCTATTAGCCAGAGCCATGTAAGAGCGATGTGTCACGATCATCATTCGTTCCCTACGTTGACAGTATTCCCTTTTTGGGTGAATCATCGAGTTCGTTTTCGTGTATCAACCGCAACTGTCCCTGCCACTGTCACTCTTCCGCATATCGGCCTTGCAAATAAGCGGAATAGAGCCGCTCCCAACAGACTTGACACTGTGTAACTATATCGGCTGAGCGAAGACGACCTAGAGTAACACCACCCATCGCACATCCTCATAAGTCGTAGAATCAAAAACAACGAAGGAATTAACAGGAGAAAGGACAACAGAGTTGTCTGAGTATTACAACAGCATACTGCGATTGCCGCCCGACATATGATGATGCATGTGCTCACACGGATAGGGACTACCGTCTTACCTATTGTTGCGATGAAGTAGTCATCCGTCCTCATTTGGAACGGCGAGCAAGCCGTCACACAACACATTCGACACTTGGGCCTCACGTCTGTAGTTGGGGGGCCGCATTCACGTTATAGTGTCTGTGGGCTTCAGTAGACACTTAACATCAGGTGGGCGGTGGGCCGTGAGCTCTTTCACTAACTTTTTTATTTTATTTTTTATTGCTTAGGTGGATGGACGACCTGATGTTAAGTGGTTACTGGAGCCCATAGACATCTAGAACGTAAATGCGCCACCCACCTCGAGATTTAAGTTCTAAGGTCTCAGTATAGTTACAACGGCTACCCCACCCTTCGAATCGAAACGCATTACTGCTTCACGGCGGAAATAGGCGGGGTGGTGGTACCTACCCGTGCGGACTCCCAAGAGGTCCTACCACCAGTGATTACGCAAATTATAATTTTGCGGGTTTGATTTTTATTACACGATGTTATTCCTTCACCGTGGAAGTCAATCGTGAACAATTGTTGAGTACGTATTTCATTAGAAAAATTGGTACCCGCCTGCGGGATTCGAACACCGGTGCATCGCTTCATACGAATGCACTGGGCGTCTTATCCTTTAAGCCACGACGACTTCTAAACAAAGCAAAAACAATAATTCAATCGCATTGAGTATAATTCGTTTACTTTCTTAGCATGCAGAGCAGTAGGCCAGGGGGCAGCGGATAGGTAGAGTAGCACATCAGAGTAGTGAAGTATAAAGTATAATGTAAAGTGCCGATGAGCGTGTGTTGATTGGCTCACAATAGGACTCGTTAGTGACTCTATGCGCCTCCCAGACGTTAATCGCGGACAGGGTCGGGACGTGACATTATAAACTTGCGAAGATATTTTATTGCAATTAATATAGTTTAATTAATATCATCGTTAATATCAGAATACCTTTTAATTTAGTACAACGACCAGTTCATCATAGCACGTCTGCTGTGGAGACAGCGGCTGCTGTGGTCCTGCGACACATCCATCCCCATCCAAACCAAGATTAGCTCGTACACGAGTATAAATTACTGGATTGAACATCATAATATCGATCTGTGTGTATACAAGTATGTTTTCAACAAACTACTCCGCAACCTAACTTTTAGAAATTTCGAAAAAACGTCCAAATGATGCTAGAGGCGCAGGTGATGCTGTGACGTTTGGTAGCCACAGGATCAAAGTCAAGATACACCAGTGAAGCGGCAGAGTTTGACTAGTAAGCAATAGAGAGTAGTGTATAGTGAATAGTGTCGAGTCGGAGTGACTGGGGACGCATGCACAGTCCCGCGGATGAATAGCGGCGCGGAGCACCACTCAACTACTGTTGAAGTAATTAAGTACCGAATGTTACCAACTTGTCCTGCGTTACGTCTCTTGGAGACAGTGTCTCACGCTCACTTATATTAAAACACTAAATATGTGTTTTAAAAAAACAGTCCGTATGACGACAATAGTGACTCCGCAATGGCACAATACCGCTTGATTGCGTGACAGTTGCGCATCTGTCGCGCGACACCCGGCCGCCGCCGCCGCCGCCGCCGCCGCCGCCGCCGCCGCCGCCGCCGCCCGGACCAGGCCAGGTCGAAGGGCACGACGCTAAACAAACGAGCTTTCATCCGGAGACCCGTCGTAACATGTGTCACCGAACGACATGTGCCTGCACAATGTATTACTGTTCCAAATATCATATGAGCAATTTGTAGAGCACCCTGTGTGAGTGTGTGTCTGTGTGTTTCAACGAGNGCCCGCCGCCGCCGCCGCCGCCGCCGCCGCCGCCCGGACCAGGCCAGGTCGAAGGGCACGACGCTAAACAAACGAGCTTTCATCCGGAGACCCGTCGTAACATGTGTCACCGAACGACATGTGCCTGCACAATGTATTACTGTTCCAAATATCATATGAGCAATTTGTAGAGCACCCTGTGTGAGTGTGTGTCTGTGTGTTTCAACGAGATGACACGTGAACTGTGTCTATCGGTGCCTCGTCTCCATGATATTGTAATGATGGACGTGCGTCGCGAGCGGCCGCTGCCTTGACACTCGTTTAACGTATGGCATCGTGCTTCTACTACGAGTACAATCATAGCGTGGAACTACTCTTTATTGAATAGATGGAAAATCGAGTTCACATCCCACCTGATGTTGAGACTTGGTAATAAGTATGAGATCTGCTTGCACGGTTTGAACACCACAATGATCGCATCACTTACTACGCGTGTTACTCTAAAGTTTAGACTACAATGAATTCACAAGGAAAGTAGTATTAGAGAAGCAGAGTCAGTATACTCGTATGGCTAGAGGGATAGCGTAGGTAAGGGTTATCCGCACAGGTAAGCGCGCATTCATTAACATGCATACATAGGTACATGGGTCAGTCTGCACACCGCGCTCCGTCCACTCGCGCTCAAACACTCTACATCAAATCGTTTACGAGTATAAACTTACTGTTCATCTTTCTTGTTTTTCTGAATACTAACTCGCTGGCACTGTGTCAATGTGGGTGTCACTGTGTTTATTTAATCTTTGTTACACAATACAGGTAACAATCTAACAAAATAGATGAGGAGGAAAACACTGCAATATATACTTATTATAAATAATATGTAAAAAATAAAATATATCAGGAATGTTGGCTTTACAAACAAATATCGCCACGCAACACAATGACATGTACTATACACATATGCTCGTGTAAACTATATCTTCCTACAAAAACAAATACTAGCTGGTTCATCATCTGATCTTGTATTACATACTGATACCATCGTTGATGATATTTCAGCTTCAGGATACGTAGCCAGGCGAAGGTCAAATACCATAGAAGAAGGACAACAAAGTTAACGGAAGTCCTTCTCCACTGCTCGGTGGAGAGGTATCTCTGCTGAGTTCGGCAACGGGAAACATTATCACACGTGCGTAGGCTAAAAATGACTCTTGTACAGTCTTGGAGAGTCCTATCTAGCTTATTCACGAGATCTTGACACACAGCAGCGTCGACGGCGCTGGGACAAACAGGAGATCGAACTAAAATAAGTTCAGTGCAAGGGTAAGTGGGCACGCGCGGAGGCCCGCGGAGCTGCTCGTTTTGTGGTGATCAGCCGCCGTCCAAGGAATACAACTGAAGGACTGGCCATTATTGAACCCACGCCCTTAATACATATTAAAGTAACAGGACACGGCGCGTCCATCATTTACTACAGTTCTAATAATGTTGTTAATCTAGGGATCATTATTTATTTAAGTCAAAATGTTGTGAAACTTACAGATCGAGGATCTTACGACTGTGTTGTTCGAATGACCTTCTAGCGAACATTAACTCTACTGTACCGTACTGTCACCGGAGTAGAGATCCAATAGAGGATTACATGTAGTCGTGAACAGAGATAGCCAGGTGAAGCCCTGGTATGTCAGCATCAGGTCGGAGTCCACGACCCTTGCAAAACTCATGCACGCTCACGATGCTCACACGCTGATACTTGACTTACAACGCGCCAGTGTGCTTACCTGCTCGCGACTCAGATATGAGACTTAAATGAATGCCTCATTTAATTTACAAATTCTATGTTTAATAAGAGGAAAACGACAAGTGGATGTGTAATCAGACTATCGTGAAGGGCTGTTGTCCGCGGCGCGGCGGGTGCAGGGCGAGTGTGCAACGCACTCGAGTCGCTCTAGCTGCACATACGTAGAGCAACAAGCGCACAGAGATCGGATCGGATTCGCGACGGGCCGCGCGGTGGTGGAAGAGGCATCGGTACGGAGCCGGCGGGGCGCGGCAGTCTCACGCGAGAGTCGGCGGCGGACGCACGTGCAGCGCCGAGTGTCCAGTGCGAGCGTGCCAGTGTGTGTGTGCAGACGGACCTGGTGTGTGTGTGTGCGCGACATGCGGGCGGCGCGGAGGGAGCGGGCGGGGCGCTGACTCGATGCGGGCGCGGTGTGTGCGGCGCGCGCCGCTGCTGATCCTCCTCGCCCTCGCCTGCACGCTGCGTGTACGTCTCTACTGCTCTCTCTCTCTGTCGGTGCAACCGATCCACTATCTGGTCTATCCCACTTCGTGATTACTTTCTTTCTTAATCTTATTACAATGTATGTTTGAGTTTAAGACGCGTACGACAGTTACTTGATAAGTTAATAAGAACTGCTTCCCTGATTTTACTAGTTTAACAGTTAAGAGCGTCGAAACTGAAAGCTTACCGTTTTACGAGTTTTACGATGAAATTCTCACTAATGATAGAGCTAGGTACATTAGTTTTGTTACGTGTTAAACTATAACTAATCTAACGTCAATTACGAAATCTGACGAAGCGGACGGCGTGTAGAATCGCAGCGAGCGGTTATCGGAATTTCATAAATATTAATTGAACGAGAGAGCTTTATTCCGTGAGGTAGTGTGTATGCTACGTGCTCTACATGTAGAGTAGAGCACATTCTGTAGTCCTAGTAAAGTAAGTGTTGTTGCATATCCCGTGAATAAATTCAATATAACATTTATAATGATACTAATTAAAAAAAACTAATTAAAGTAACAAAATAACACAAATTTTTAATGAAACACACGAGTGAATGATACTACCCGTTAAAAGTTCGTTAAAAGCTGAGCTCAACGGAATCTCTCAAAGAAGACCCTGCAAATTATACGAGTTTCTAAACTGGTTGTCTTATATCTTAGTGAATCAAAATTAATTCAAGCTTCACAAAAACTCTCATATTGAGGATTACCTTATAGGAATTAATCCTTAATTCCGCTTTAAAAGTATTTGTTGCAGTCATCTTGTGAACTGCCCCTTTGTTCGGTAGTGATGTGTTCCAAGATGTCTTCACAAGTGCCACATTCAGACGATGCACATACAAACAATCCGAAATTCAACTGAACATATCGAGCCAACAATTTTACTTTTTATAAAAAAATAACTATACATCCACACATTCGTGTACGGATACGTTAAATGCAATATGTTCTTATTGTTGTGATGTGGCGACTTGTCGTCCTCAGAGGATTAGATCAGTGAACAGTAACTGTCCGTCTTCATGGAGCTCCTGCGCCCGACGCACAGCACACTCGGTGGTTTGACCGGACGTTATCTGGCTGCTTCAGATGTATCGGGAACTGTATTATCTGAACGTCTCCCGAGCACGGCGCGGCAGTGACGCTAGTGAGATCACTTTGAGTTGCTTGCATTGTTCTACCAAATATATTTGCAAAAAAATGCTAGTTCTAGTTTCAAACTTCAATGAAAGGTTTTAATATAACTTTATTTCAGTATATTCAGATAAAAACGATCACTAAGCTTAAGTAGATAGTTATTCGACTTAGATATTCTACATTTATAGATCCGTACGCGCATTATTTACACATTTTTTTCTTTCCTTCATAAACATTATTAAAATATCACACGCGAATCAAATCCCACTATACTATATAATTATACTATAGACTAAGCACGCGGAATAGTTGCGATGGTGGGAACCGCTGGTGGAATCGTCTCTAGGTGTAGTAGAGACACATTAATATTCCGCGGACTGTGCGTCGGTCGGCGCATGACTCATCACATTCCTACAACTCTACACTTTACTTGTTTCACGAGAATATACTATTTCTCTTTTTTAATTACATTGACGGGCAGACGGTCTCGCGGCCCTTCTGTCCTTAATCGGTAAGTGGAAACAGGGGCCCGTGGACAGCACACCTGCTTGCCGAATCCAAATACAAACATAGTCGCATCGTTCAATACGAATAGTACATCGGGCTTCTTACTATGAACTTGAAAACTAATATTTATATTAGTCAAGACTCGACAGACAAAATTGCTCTTTTCCCACAAGGTCTGTAACGAACTATTGAACCAAAAACAGCTAAGTCGGTCCACCTGATGTTAAGTGACTATCGGAGCTCATAGAGATCGACAATGTAAATGTCGCTACCCCTTTCAGGGAAGTTTCCCAAGTGTCGCGTCTACAGTACATCGTACAGCAGCTGCCCCTACCTTGAGGTGCACTGGGCAGGGCGTGGTCCCGCATTTCCAGCCAGCGCGGTGGTGATCAGTACAGCTTCACGACTGCCGCTGGGGCGGAGGCTCCCAGACGTGTTTTATTCAATGCTGAACAGAATATTGAACTCGCTTCTAAATACTAGCGCGACCCCTATGTAACTGTTCGACCTATTTTGTAAACAAACTTTAAGGTTCGATTCACTTGAAAACTTCAAAAATTGCGCGTGGAATTAAGGACTGATAATGATTTAGTAAACTTTTTACTGTGACGTAATAATAAAAATATATTAATTTTGTATTTTATCTTGTTGACCGTATATCTTTTTTGTAGTTTTAAACTATATTTACTCAATATTTACTATTGAACAACATTTTAACGATATGACATAGCTTAAAGCTTTATAAAAGTTTTTGAATTAGTAAGATATAATGGGGGCCTCCGTCTACAACGGTGGATGGGTGTCAGCCAATATGGAATTATTTATCTCACTGCTCCAGTGATAGTAAATGGTATATTGAGACTTGGAAGATTGTTTGGAGCTTCAACGCAGCCGTGGAGCTTAATCAATTAAAAAATCTTTGTATAAAAGACTTGAACGCGCGTCACAAGTTGTGTTGTTTCCGTCGTATTATTTCTCGTGTTCGCATTCATTCATGATTTTATATTATCCGAGGTCGGCGACCCGTGCGTGATTTCCATATTATCCGTTTACTATCATCGCGTCATAATATATTGCATTCTACTACCATTGCTTTATGACTATAAATCAAAAATATAAATCAAGTAAGGAATTTAAAATAACAAAACCAGTGTGTGCTTCTATGATGTACAGTCCTAGTCGAAGGTCAAAGCTCACAGGCGGCGAGCAGCGCGGGGACCTGCAGTGCGCGCCGCGTGCTGTGCGATCGGACCGCTGCTACAGCCCCCCAACTAAACACGTACTCAGTGCGTGTTCACGAACGACATTCACAATGCACGCATCGCTACGTGTCACACAAATGAAATTCGCAATATTTATAAACCTGCGTAGTGATGTTCATGCTTATTGTGAACTTCTACGGATTGGTACCGTCATTCTACCTATTACCGCCACAAAGATGTCATATTTCCCGGTTCAAAGACTGTTATTACAAAACACACCAGAGACTCATGTCCCGGCAGCGACCCTCACGTTGGGATGTCTCTAGGTTGGGGATTGGTCAAACTCATTCATCGGCAAATGAAAAAAAAAGAGTCTGTTATTATTCGTCCTGTAGTCCTGTAGTCCGTGCCAGTGACAGTCGATCCGCAATGAGATCCTGCTCTATCTCCGCTGCTGCGACGTAGTCTCTCTCCGTAGACACACACAACTGAACTTAACTCCTGACATCATGGTTCTGACATATGAGCACCTACAACGTCAAGTTTGTAAGTGACATTGCTCATTCATATTCATATTCTACATTATTTTCTTTGCTGCGACAAGTTCTCAGTCATTCCATAGACAGGCGTGTGTACATGTATACGTACGTATACAGGCGCATGTATACGCTCAAACAGTACATAGCTCAATGTTTAGTCACGTCATAGCGACCGACGCATGGCCCCCGCTGGTTCATGGATGAAGCTTAAAACGAATTAAGTACTAGTCATCACATACGTACTGCGTCCACTGACATTTCGTGAGCTTAAAGTGTGCTTAGTGCTTAGTGCTTAGTGAACTGCACAGTGCACAGTCCGCTGTGCACTGTGCAGGGAGAGACACCTGACCGATGTGCAGTGAGCCTCGGTCAGATGTCATCGGTTAACGATTACCTTATCTTTGAAATTTTATAAAGTCGAACATAAAATCCTCTGGACTCGCACTTTCGGTCCTCGACAGAGTCCACAGCACGAACTTATACGAAGTCAACTCAAGTTTATTTCATGCTTTTCCCCCGTCACATCCGTTTATAGGGTTATCCTAAAACTTTAACCTGTCTAGAGAGGCTCTAATCTATATTTTTTTATGTTTTATTTCTTAAATGTGTGGAAGAGCTCACAGCCCACCTGGTGTTAAGTAGTTACGTAGTTGTGTAAGTGTTAAGTAGTTTAGTAAGTAGACATCTACAACATAAATATGCCGCCACTCATCTTGAGATATGAGTTCTAAGGTCTCACTATAGTTACAACAGCTGCTCCACCCTTTAAACCGAAACGCATTACTGCTTCACGGCAGAAAATAGGCACGGTCGTGGTACCTACCCACACGGACTCACGAGACGTCCTACCACCAGTAATTGCGCCAATTATAATTTTGCGGGTTTGATTGTTATTACACGATTTTATTCCTTCACCGTGGAAGTCAATCGTGAACATTTGTTGAGTACGTATTTCATTAGAAAAATTGGTACCCGCCTGCGGGATTCGAACACCGGTGCATCGCTTCATACGAATGCACCAGACGTCTTATCCTTTAGGCCACGACGACTCAATCGTATCATACTCATACGTATCTATTTAATATTGACGGTTTTCCCGACCGTATATGTGAGGTCGAAGCACCACGCCATCACACAACATTTCGAGTATTATAATATTTTAAAACAGGTGATGAGCTTGAAGTTGTTCAAGATTAGTATATATGTGCATGTAATATTATTGGATCGTATCGGCTGTCTTCAAGCCGAGTATCGCGCCGACATCTACTGCACGAGCCGACAGCGGCACCGCGCGGTCGCAGCGAGGGGACGACCAGGCGTGTCGACGAGTGGGAGGAGACTCGCCCTCCCACTCCACCCTACAGCGGCGCGGTGTCTTTGTTTAGCTCACTGCGGCCACGCCCTCTCGAGCTCTCTGCTAACTGCTCACCACTAGGTGCTCCGTATTAGACACAGACGTCAAACGCGACAATATAGCTTTGTTAGGTCGCACAGCTTGACATGTCGACACCTCCCTGCGTGTTTGTGCCGCTCGTTGCAAATAGTATATCCATTGTTTGGTTGCGACTGATTGAGACTTTAGGTGTTCACTTTGTGAAGTCCTGGTGATGATGCTGTACGTTTGTGTGCGCAGTGCGCGGCGGGGGCGGGCGTGTTCGAGCTTCAAATACTGGAATTTAGCAACTATCGGCTGGAGGTGGGGGCGGGCGGATGCTGCGGGGGCGGCGGTCCGAGGGGCGCGGGAGCGGCGGCCTGCTCGCATCCCTGCCGCACCAGGTTTACGCTCTGCCTCAAGGAGTACCAGTCGGCGGCCGCGCCCGGCGGGAGCTGCTCCTTCGGGCGCGCCGCCTCCCCCGTCCTCGGCACTGACTCCTTCACTCTGGCTGAGCCTCTCTACACCCTCGCACTGCCCTTCAGCTTCCGATGGACGGTCAGTTTCCTTCATCACACTCTGCCCGCGCACTCGCAGTATTACATTGACCTGACATGCAGAGCGACACTGACCGAACAATGTTTCTTGCTTTCAGCGTTCGTTCACGTTGATCCTGCAGGCGTATGACGACTACGAATACTCCGAGCCCGGTGAGTGGCAGCCGGTGTCGGCTGACGGGGGCGGACCAGAGTGTTGGCTGTCGGGCTGTTGTGATGGATCCGGATGGTGTGTTGCAGAAGCGGGGCTCATCGAGGAGGCGTGGTGGTCCGGGATCGTGGAGCCGAGCGCGGAGTGGCACGCGCTGCGCCACGCGGGCGCCGCGGCTGCCGTCGCGTACCGCGTGCGGGTGCTCTGTCAGCCCAACTACTACAATACGACCTGCACCACGTTTTGCCGGCCCAGGGACGACAAGTTCGGCCACTACTCGTGCACGCCCGACGGCGACAAGCACTGCCTGCCGGGCTGGCAGGGGGACAACTGCGAGAAACGTATGTAACACATCTTTTTACGGACGCATTCTTCATTCATCACATTACGAGTAATGTTCCGATTTCTAATATTCAACTTTTTTATTTTATTTCAGCTGTTTGTAAGGAAGGCTGTCACCCGACTCACGGACGTTGCGATCGGCCCGGGGACTGCGAGTAAGTGCGCAAGATTCACTCCCTCCTCCTTCATGCACAATTTAAGGCTTGATAAATTGTTGAAGCTGCCATTTATGTCTGTCTAGTTGTCGACCGGGATGGAGAGGTGAACTGTGTTCTCAGTGTCAGCCGTATCCGGGGTGTAAACACGGCTACTGCAACGGTTCCTCCTGGGACTGCACCTGCGACACGAACTGGGGCGGGATACTTTGTGACCAAGGTGAGTCGGTCGGCGCGCTCTGCGGATATGACGTTCTCGGCGACTGAGGACAGGAGTCTTAGGAAAGATCGTTTCTAGATTTAAACTACTGCGGCACCCACGAGCCATGTCAGCACGGAGGCACCTGTGAGAACACCGCGCCGGATCAGTACTTCTGTCGGTGCGCCGAGGGCTTCTCCGGGGTGGACTGCGAGCGCGTCGACAACCCGTGCGCGCCGCAGCCCTGCGCTCATGGCACGTGCTCCCTCGCCGGCACGACGCGAGGCTTCACGTGCACGTGCGACCGCGGCTGGGGCGGGCTGCTCTGCGACACCGACCTCGACGACTGCGCCAGCGGGCCCTGCCTGCACGGCGCGTCCTGCAGGGACCACCTCGACGGCTTCACCTGCGAATGCGCAGACGGCTGGACCGGGCCAGCCTGCGCCGAAGGTGCGTTGTCCGTCGTCCGCAATGAGCGTACCCGTTTCGACCTCCGACCTAGTTGGGAGTGTAACGTGACAGTGTGTGTAACGTGTTCGCAGACGTCGACGAGTGCTCGGGTCGAAGCATGACGGAGGGCGCGCTGGGTCCGTGCGTGAACGCGGCGGCCTGCAACAACACGGCGGGCGGGTACTCGTGCGCCTGCCTGGCGGGCTGGACCGGCCGGGACTGCGAGACCAACGTGGACGACTGCACGGGACAGTGCCTGCACGGCGCCACCTGCATCGACCTGGTGGACGACTTCCACTGCGCCTGCGCGGCGGGCTACGCGGGCCGCACGTGTTCGCTGGACGTGGACGACTGCGCCCCCCGCCCTTGCACCAACGGCGGCGAGTGCGTCGACCTGCTCAACGCTTACCGCTGCATCTGCCCCGTCGGCTTCTCCGGCACCAACTGCGAGGTGAGCCCTTCTCCGCCATTCCACTTTCGATCCTCTATCTCGTATCTCATTCTTATTAACTAAATAAACTTTAGATCGATTTCTTTTATTTCAATTTGTCAGCCTCCATGAAGGTGCAGCGACCGCTTCGGCACTAACACAAACTAACCCGAACTCTGCTTTTCTAGCTGTCATGTTGTTCAGGACGATATTGTCCGGTAAGTTATTTTAACTGTACGCGCATACACTATTGGAAATTTCAGTAAGTTTCTATTATATATCTGCTTTTATCTATTTTGTTTGTAGTTAATGAATAATGATTAGTGTGTCGTAGTACAGTACAGTGAGGTGGGTGATGCATGCGCATGCGCTGTATGCGCACCCGCAGTAGTCAGTAAGCTGTGCCGTGCGGTGTGTTGAGCAGGACGACCGCGACCACTGCGCCGGCTCTCCGTGCGGCAACGGCGCCGCCTGCTACACCGCGCAGAGCGACTACTACTGCCACTGCGCGCCCGGCTGGACCGGCAAGAACTGCACGCAGCGAGCTGCCAGGGACCGTTCGTATATTGTACTCTCTCTGTCCCTCTCTCTCTCTCTCCCTCTCTCTCTCTCCCTCCCTCTCTCTCTCTCCCTCTCTCTCTCTCCCTCTCTCTCCCTCCCTCTTTCTCCGCATCTCTAACAGGACAGGAGTAGACGTCCCACGTTTGACGCTTGACGCTTGACGTGACCCCTCTGAGGCAATCACTTTTAATAATTATACTTTCTTTATCATCTGTAAACACATCAGTATGACATTTCTCAATGTTGGACTTGACAAAGGACGAGTAATTTAAAAACTAATAAGTAGATATGAATAATAATAATATGTATGCTAATTAAATTTAGGTAAAAGTATAATAGTTACAAAAAAACCTTTCATCAAAGCCGCTCGCTCGCTCAGGAATTTTTTTTTGTGATTAATGAATAGAACTGGTAATGATCTATTTTTGAGCACACGGCGAACGCGTGCCGAGATCGATTAATATAAATACCTGACGCGAGAGGCAGCAGTTTCCCTGACCGCGCGTTGCGTGTGCTTGCAGAGGTGAGCCGCTGCAGCCCCAGCCCCTGCCGCAACAACGCCTCCTGCGTGGAGTCCGCTGCCGACGTCACCTGCGTGTGTCGCGACGGCTACACAGGTCTCTGTCCGCTCCACTTCACTACACAACTACCCTCACACGCTCCACACGCTTTACATGCTTGTACGCGCTCCCCCGATCGCTCTCTGATCACACTAATATATTCACACACACATAAGAACATGTTTCCAACAAAAATGCAACCTGGAACCAACTACTGTATTTACAGGTAAAACCTGCTCAGTACTTGTAGAAGAGAGCGAGCGCTGTGCGGAAGGAATGTGCGCGAACGGAGGCACTTGTGTGCGCGAGGAGGGGTCCTGGCGCTGTCTGTGCGCTGCGGGTTGGGGGGGCGGCGCCTGTGACTCCCTGCTGCCGCTCGCGCCCGCAGCTCCTCCGCCGTGCCCGTGCCAGGCGGGGGGGACGTGTCTGCCGTCCGCACTGCCTCCCGGCTGGGCTTGCGGGTGCAGAGAAGGTCGTACCGGAGCCTTGTGCGAACTGTCCCTGGATCTCTGTGGCTCTTCGCCTTGTCGTAACGGCGGTCGGTGCGTCGGTGGCTCGGGGTGGTGGATGTGCGAATGTGCGGCGGGCTGGACCGGAGAGACTTGTGCAGTGCGAGTGTCCGCCCCGCCCCTCCTGTGCTCCCCGCCCTGTCCCGCCCCCGCTGCCTGCGTCGCCGACCCCGCACGTCCCTCTTCCACCCGGTGTCTCTGTCCGGCGCCGCCGCAGCGTGCTGCTAGACGCTGCCTCGAGAGTGAGTAAACCACCGCTCCTATTGTCCTTCTGTTCGTTGGGCGTGGATATGAAATTGTAAACGAAGCATTTTGGTTTCCAGCTGTTGCCGGCTTGGAAGCAGAGGGCGATGACGTAGACGTTCTACAAAACGACAACCATGGAGTGTACAACCGACCAGACCCGAACGTGGGCGACGGACCAGGAGCGTGCGGCGTCGCTAACGGCACCTGGTGGTGGGGATGTAACGCATGTTGGTGTAGTGGGGGGGTGCCAACCTGCACTCGACTGTGGTGTGGCCTGCCGGACTGCCTAGCTCCTAACGCACAACCCTGCCGAACCGATGAAGTATGTTCTGAAGTATAAGTATTTATTAAATAAACTCGTACTTAGATGTATTTATTATATTTGTATATAATAATATATAAATTATCACTGTTTGTATGATTATCAGGTGTGTGTACCGGCGGCACCAGCACTGTGCTTGCGTGCTCCATGTGCCGCACTGGGGGAGTGCCGGCGGGTGTCTGGACGACGTGTGGAGCCCCCCGCCCTCCCGGCACCCCCCGCGTGCTGGCCGGGAGCCCGCTCCCCCGCTCCCCCCGCCCTCTGTGCTCGTGCTCAGCTGCAGCTCGCGAGGGAGCGGCTGGGACCGGGCGCGCACGTGGAGCGTGCCTGTGGAGCTCTGCGACGAGCGTTGGCTGCCGCTCTTGTCGTTCAAGACCCTCCGCCCCCACCACTGGCGTTACTTTGTGATCTCGCACCGGATGATGATGACGCCCTCGATCTCGCTTTGGTAAAACATCCTTACTTCCAGGTCGCGTATTGTATATTTTTCGAATCATCATGTTTTAACTGTGATTTACTATGCAGTGGATCGGAGACGAAGTGGGTTCAGACGGAGCCTCCGGTGCAGCGGCGCTTGGAACTGCAGTGCGGGCTCTCGGAGAGCTTGTGTCGCGTCGGCGGCTGGCCCGTCACGCCCTGCTCGGGGCAGTGCTGCGACTCCGCATGCCGCCAATAGCGCCGCCGGCCTCAGAGCCATCGACAGCGCCGGCGACCACTATCGCGGTCGGTCTACCGGTGGTACTGCTAGTAGTGGCCGCGGCCATTGGCGCCTTCCTGTTCGTGCGGAGGAGACGTGTGGCGGCAGCGGAACGGTCACGGCGCTGCGACGAAGAGAAGTCTAATAACCTTCAAAACGAGGAGAACTTGCGGCGGTACGCAAACCCCCTGCGCGAGGAGCGTGGCGGGACCCGCGGCGAGGACCTGCCTCGGGCCCATTCGCTGTACAAGGCGCAGAACGCGGACGCGCGGAACGACACGCCGCCGCGGGACAAGGAGCTCACCCTCCGCGCCCTGCCGCCCCCCGAGCCGCCGCCCCCCGCGCGCCACCCGCCGCCCGAGCGACTCACTGTACTCGTGTGATATTAGTCTAGAAGCGCCCTCTCTCAGCCTTGAGCCTATTTATTGTTGTCTACGTCCTGTCATTGTAAATATTATGTATTTTTATTGTAAATAATGTTGTTGGTGCGTTTTGTATGTTTACATGTGAACAAAGAATGTGAATAATTATTGTAAAGGTTGTAAAAATGAATTTTAAAAGTGATCGTTTTAATAAAAATAAAGTAAAAATTGTGCTTGAGACCTGGTTTTTTTTTTATACTTGCACAATATAAAATTAAGATGGGCGTGCCTGGAAAATAATCGACTCGTCCTTATTGATAGAAGCTCTGGCGTATTATACTACAAAATTCTTACGTATATCATAACACTCGCATAAGAAAACATCACATTTGGATTCCAATGTTTCTTCTAATTAATTTAAATTGTTATATGTTTTTAAGCTATTGCATAGGTTTTATCGCGGACTTTGCGCGGCGACCGAATCAAGAAATTCCGTAACGTAAATAAAACCTAGCACCTCCCACTCCGCCTACCATGTAGCTCACATTCAACACATTCACACGTGGCGCTTGTGTAGTGTTTGTGAATAAGCGCGCGACGTGACGTCGCACTGCATGCGCATCATGAAAAGTCTGCCCATCTCTATCTCGCCCGCGGTCTAGCTTATCACTCTCCGAACAGGCCTACCGTCGAGTTCGGGCATTTCCTGGGCGGGATCGGGGCGATTGCTCGCCGCCTCGCTCCTCGTCCAGTGATTCTCGCGGGGGACCTCAATGCGAAGTCTATCGCATGGGGCTCCCCCCGCTCGGACGCTCGTGGTAGGCTACTGGAGAGGTGGGCGAACGCGGCCGGCCTCTGTTTGTTGAATNGGCGAGATCGGGGCGATTGCTCGCCGCCTCGCTCCTCGTCCAGTGATTCTCGCGGGGGACCTCAATGCGAAGTCTATCGCATGGGGCTCCCCCCGCTCGGACGCTCGTGGTAGGCTACTGGAGAGGTGGGCGAACGCGGCCGGCCTCTGTTTGTTGAATAGAGGGTCGGTTGCGACGTGCGTGCGGTGGCAGGGCGAGTCTATTGTGGATGTTACGTTCGCGAGCCCGGCCATCGCGCGCCGTATCCACGACTGGAGGGTTTTGGAGGGCGCGGAGACGTTGTCAGATCACCGATATATTCGGTTTGATCTCTCCGCCCGCTCCGCAGTCGCGGACGCCCTCGGGGACCACCCCCGTGTTGCGTCCCGGTCATTCCCCAAGTGGGCACTGAAGCGCCTGAATAAGGAGCTCCTAATGGAAGCCTCTACAGTGGCGGCGTGGGCGCCCATGCGTCCACACCCGATCGAGATCGAGGGAGAGGCAGGGTGGTTTCGGGACACGATGCGTCACATCTGTGATGTGTCGATGCCCCGGATCGGCCCTCGACTTCCTAATCGCCAGGCGTACTGGTGGTCGCCCGAAATTGCGCAACTTCGCGTGGAGTGCGTTCGGGCGAGGCGCGAGTGCGCCAGGCATCGCCGCCGCAGCCTGCCGCGGCGCAACGATCCTGTTGCGTTCGCGGCGGCAGAGGCCCGGCTGCACGCCGCATTTCGCGTCGCGCAGAGGGCACTGCAGCTGGCCATCAGAAGAGCCAAGGATCAACACATGGAAGGTCTCCTGGAGACGCTGGATGAGGATCCGTGGGGGCGGCCCTATCATATGGTGCGCAATAAAATGCACCCATGGCCCCCCCCCGATCACGGAGCGTCTCCAGCCTCAGTAGCTGCGGGACATCGTCTCGGCGCTGTTCCCGCAGGAGCGGGAGGGATTTGTCGCTCCCGCTATGGACTCGCCGCCGGAATACGACGGCGAGTCCCTGCCGAGGTGCCCCATATAACGGGGGCGGAGCTCCGTGTGGCCGTGCGCAAAATGTGCGCGAAGGACACTGCACCCGGCCCGGACGGCGTCCATGGCCGGGTTTGGGCCTTGGCTCTTGGTGCCCTGGGGGACCGACTCTTGAGGCTTTACAACTCCTGCCTCGAGTCGGGACGGTTTCCTTCATCGTGGAGNGGCCGTCCAACACGAGGCCGAGGTACCTTAACTGCACCCCGACCCCTATCCGGACGCCCCCAACCACGATGTGGGCGTCGACAGGTGGCGCTCTCCGCGGCCCGTGAAACCACAAGGCCTCGGATTTACTGAGCGCCACGTCGAGGCCCAGTCTCTTTATCCTCCCGACGACGAGGGCCACTCCCGCTGTGGCGAGACGGGCAGACTCTATAATCATCCCCCCGGGCCACGACCAACGTGTCGTCCGCGTAACAAATTACGCGGAGACCCGGGAGGAGGGCACCCCTCAGCACCCAGTCGTACCCGATGTTCCACAAGAGAGGTCCGAGAACCGACCCCTGCGGAACACCACGCACGACCGGTGTGTTAAGAGGCTGGGTGAAATTGAAACACAAGACAGCTGTATCAATATGAAAGTAGAACAATTCATTTTCACGCACGTAAAGAAAGAAAAAATCGTTAGCACGACTTAATGTTCTACTAGATTCAAGTAACCTCAATTCAAAACACTAAATTGAATTTCGTATAGTTTTCACGAGGAGTTGTAAGTTTATTTCGGACGAAGACGTTTTGTGTTGATGAAGTTAACAAAGATTTCGCTGTCATCAATTACCATGAGTGTCACATACTAACGGACAGCAGATACGACTGGAGGTTAACAAGCTCCTTTTTGGGCAGTTGAACCACTCGGTAAAGTAAAATTAATTCGGTCCATGCTTTGTCGTATGACGTCGTTATAGCGTGTGAGATATGTCACGTAGGCAGTCTCAAAATTACGAATGCCTTCACATAATCACTTGGGTCTTTGGATGGATCATATTTATTAATTGGCGTAGTAGAGCAGACGCCCTCACGAGCCTTTTGATGTGAAGCGATCGCCAGGGTTCAAAGACGAATGTCGCGCCGCTGTCATCTTAAAACTAAATTTGGCAGTCAATTTATTCGACCAACGAATATCCTTAGTTCAAAATAAATCGTGTGAATGCTTTAGGGCAAAAAATATAGAGCGGTGATAGCATGTCACTCATGTTTTGAATGTCCTCTAGAATTCGATAAATGATCGAATTCAGTCATAGTTACAATTGACATATCTATCAAATGATAATTGAGTCATTAAGCAACTGTGCACCACGCACAAAGCTCCCACTAATCATCTGACGAATCAGACGAAGCGGTAAAGTAATCGACATTTCATACGACACTTGAAAAAGGCTTAGCTCATGTACCAGTTTAGTAATAAAACCGGTTTTGTAAAACTACCTACGTTTTATTCTCGATTATTATTGTCATTATATTAATTCTGACGTTTCGAATACTCTGCAGTTTTCATGGTCGAATAAACGTAATACAAACGAGATTAAGCTGTAAATATATAATCTATATATTAATACGTGAAGGAAAAACTTTGTATCCCTTTTTACGAAAATTGCGCGGACGGAGGAGTATGAAATTTCCCACACTTATAGAGAGTATAGAGAAGGAGTGCAAAATGATAATATTTTTTTTAAATTATGCCTAAAAATACATTAAATCAATAAAAAAAACATTACACACACTACCGTGTATTTGACGCACACACACATGCATACTATTTATTTATTGTCAAACTTTTGTTCTTGACGTCTGTGGTCAAATTGAGAATAGATTAAATATTGTTTGTCTTTATTAATATTTACCTAAAGCGTAGTCTTGGCGAAATATTTGATTATAGAAGTATAATAATTCTTTGACAATAGAATCATAATAGTGTACAAACTTATAATTTCAATTAAGTACAGTCGAATTTCGAATACCGTGGGATCACTAGTAGTTTTAATTATGTCTACGCCTCGCGAAATGAGATAAATCTAACAGGTCACGATGGATTCATGAATAGCCTTTCAAGAGTTCGGTTAGGGTAGGAGGTTCAGATTCACATATACGATGACGATAATGATAAATAATTTACTGCATTATCACCAGAATTCAATTTCCATGTTTGATGGCAGACGACATTGTGACAATTTGTTGACAACAAATTTTAAAGATTCCTGCAAAATTGAACCATAATCACTGGCATCATGATAATATGAACTTATTAGATGTAATACATTCTACTATTTTGTTTTATTATTGACAATACGAAAACTAAGACAGATCACTTAAAGTAAAATAATAACACGATGCCAAGATGTCAACTCAGAAGATATAGATCAAATTAAAAGTCATTTTAATGGACAAAAAAAAATTACGTAATTATCGGCGCAGTGAAATTACTTTTATTTATTCGTAAATCTTCAAATAGTATTTTACACCTTGTTCCAACTTTTAAAAAAAACATACTCGTTTAACCGGCACAAGCTCTCAGAACGTCTAAATTTAGATGGTAAATTATTATTTTATATCGGTTCCAATCAACAGTCGAAGCGACATGCGTGACATTGAAATTTATTTATAAAATACTATCTGACCCAGCAGACTTCGCAGTGCCTCAATCGATAAATAAAAAACCTAAACTTTTGTATAAAATAAACTTAAAACAAACAAAAGGAATCCGTCCGACGCGGGAAACATCAAAAGAAAAACAAAATTGTAATTTTTATTTAATTCCGAGCATTCTCATATTTATCTACCTTTTAAACCTTCTCTGGACTTCCACAAATTATTCAAGACCAAAATTAGCCAAATCAGTCCAGCCGTTCTCGAGTTTTAGCGAGACTAACGAACAGCAATTAATTTTTATATACTTAGTCTGGCCATAAATACTGTTACAATTAAAAATAAACAAAATATTACATTTGAATTTGGAATCTGTCATTTTTATATGATTGCTCATTGGGTTTTCTCATTTTGTCGCCAATACATTGTACAATATTTTGCGATATTAAAATGGAGTGGGGTGATAAAGAGATCCGAATCGCTGTGATTGCATTACACAAAGTAGGTATGAAACCAAATGCAATTTTTAAAACTCTCCATACGCTTGGTATTAGTAAAATGTTTGTGTACCGGGCTATTAATAGGTGCAATGAAACCTCCTCTGTTTGTGACAGAAAAAGATCTGGCCGTCCACGTAGTGTTCGTACGAAAAAGGTGGTCAAAGCAGTAAGGGAAAGAATTCGAAGAAATCCTGTCCGAAAGCAAAAGATTTTATCTCGGGAGATGAAGATAGCACCTAGAACCATGTCGCGTATTTTAAAAGATGACTTAGGACTTGCAGCCTATAAGAGACNGAGACCTCCTCTGTTTGTGACAGAAAAAGATCTGGCCGTCCACGTAGTGTTCGTACGAAAAAGGTGGTCAAAGCAGTAAGGGAAAGAATTCGAAGAAATCCTGTCCGAAAGCAAAAGATTTTATCTCGGGAGATGAAGATAGCACCTAGAACCATGTCGCGTATTTTAAAAGATGACTTAGGACTTGCAGCCTATAAGAGACGTACTGATCATTTCTTAACTGATAATTTAAAAGAGAATAGGGTGGTAAAATCGAAACAACTACTGAAGCGGTACGCAAAGAGAGGTCACAGAAAAATTTTGTTTACGGATAAGAATTTTTTTACAATTGAGCAACATTTTAACAAACAAAATGACCGTATTTATGCTCAAAGCTCTAAGGAAGCTTCCCAATTAGTCGAGAGAGTGCAACGTGGGCACTGTCCGACTTCAGTGATGGTTTGGTGGGGTATTAGCTATGAAGGAGAGACTGAGCCATACTTTTGTGAAAAAGGTATCAAAACATCGGCACAAGTGTATCAAGATACCATTCTTAAGAAGGTAGTGAAGCCCCCTAACAACACCATGTTCAATAATCAAGAATGGTATAAGCAATAAGCAAGACTCGGCGCTCGGTCTACGCAGTCTTGGTTGGAAACGAACGTTTCGGACTTCATCAGAGCTGAAGACTGGCCGTCGTCTAGTCCCGATCTTAATCCGCCGGATTATGATTTCTGGTCAGTTTTAGAAAGTACGGCTTGCTCTAAACGCCATGAAAATTTGGAGTCCCTAAAACAATTCGTACGATTGGCAGTGAAAATTTTTCCCATGGAAAGAGTGCGTGCTTCTATTGATAACTGGCCTCAACGTTTAAAGGACTATTGCAGCCAATGGAGACCACTTCGAATAAGCTTTTTATACTTTAAATTGTTTTATATTTATGTATTAAACTAACACACTGTAAAAGTAATAAATGTGATTTGCAATAGAATTTTATTTCTTTTTTATTGTAACAGTATTTATGGCCAGACTAAGTATACATGTCGCCGCAACGGCACTATCTGTTCAGCTAAAAATAGTTAAAGTTAACTGTTTCCTTAATGTTACGTATGTCAACAACTGTTTAAGACAGTATTCAAAAGAATTCATGAATTAGCTACCCCCGTTTCTACTATAAATACGAGTGATTATTGTCGCACAAAACATTCCGATCCGAGTAGTCGAACGGAGCGGAGCTCTCTGTTGGTATCGTTGTACACTGGAAATGTCATAAATGGGATTCATTGAAAAAGTGAGTCTTAATTACTGTCATTATGGAAGGCAATGACAATAATGAAGAGAATGACGTCAGTGACGCTGACATCATGATTTTAAAAACACCATGTTACACCAAACACCAAATTAATAATAACAAGGAGTCTCGAGGCGAGCGTTCAGTGAGCAGAGCCTAAAGATCGAGTAAAGGAAAACCTCAAGTCATTACTATTTTTATACTATTTTAATTATCAGTGCCCATAAATTGATTTGCCTTTAATGGCTGACTAATTTACAAATCCGTTTCTAGCCACAGAACAAATGTGAAATAATACTGATGACACTATAGTCACTTACAAATATAGTTTTTTCATGATTTATGATATTGCGCCGATTAGCTGTTTATAACTACAATCACGTTGGGCGGATTAGAAATTGTACGGTATTATATACCAAACATTGAACGATGTTTATATACGAATAAATGTAAAAATCACTTATTTTATAGTTCACATGTTTAAGCGATATAAAAATTAAGCGGAAATAATCACAACGAGAGTGTACCCAATTCAAGTACATATTATGTAGGTTTTGAATTCATATTGTTTCGTATGATGTCATTTCTTTCGTAAATTTATCTGTTTTTATATATTTATTTTACACTGGTTAACTGATTTTACCTTAATAGAAGAAGATTTGCTAACAAAATGTCATTTAGTCATTTAATACACCCACGAACTATTTGCTAATACGTGTAAAAGTTCAAAGCTCATGGTAACTAAGCATCACGTAATGAAAATATCTGAATATATAAAAACATGTGATAATACAGACGTAATTTTTACCGACAGATTCGCTTCTGGATTTCCCTGTGATTAGATCCACGATATATTTAGAAGGAACGAACACGTGCCAATTTTGTTGGAAACCAAAAAATTATTGTGTGCACTTAGTTAGTGTTAGTAACGACGTCAAGTTTAAGCCCCGTAAGCTCACCACTAGTTCGGTAAATCTAGAATAACCCTTCGAGATTACTAGAATAGGTAGGAAAAACGGTATCCATCCATGTCCCATGTCCATGTCCGGTCCATTAACTTGGTGCTTTCAGGTACCACAAGTACCGATCACCGTCCTCGTCGAACCCGTCGCTTGCGACGAAGGGCTCGACGAGAAAATTAACCCATAGACACAGCCCACTGAGTTGCTCGCCGAATCTTCTCAGTGGGTCGCGTTTCCGATCCGGTGGTAGATTCTGCGAAGCACTGCTCTTCTTGCTAGGGGGCCAGTGTTAGCATCACTCCGGTTTGAGCCCCGTGAGCTCACCTACTAGTTAAGGTTACGCTGAAATAGCCTCTCAAGGCTATCAGCTTAGGTAGGGAAAAAAAGTTAATGGTCTGCTAGCTGTTTACCACCGTGATGCATACTAATAATTTTAAGAATAGGTTTCATTTAAATTCGTTTGTCAACATTTAATACATTTCACTACGCCTTTTTTCATAATTCAAACTACAATATGAGCCATAAGCAGTCTTGACCTTGTGACAAACGTGCTAAAAACATTTTAAGCCTCAGATTTACAGATAGTCAAATTTCTGTGGGTTCACAGAAATTATTCTGCATTAATATTTATGATGGTAAATGCTTTCTCACATTTACACAACACACATTTGGCTCAGACGAACTCATAATTACAACTTTCGTTTCACATTATGTTTATTTTATTTTGTAATTTTATTTATTGTCGCCTTCTAGTGTATTGTCTCTAGTTTCAAAAATGTCCTAATTTTGATTCCATATTTATTGGACTCAAAGTCATCTAACAAATTCATTCTCAATATTACCGATCAGTATTCAAATAAGTATTAATTACTCGACGCGTATCACATCGCTATTATATTACAAAACTCATTTTTTTCCCTACCTAATCGTTGGTTCTAACTTCATGCGGACCGATAGGTGAGCTCCGGGCTCAACCTAAGAGAAATTGCTAACACTAGCCCTAGTAAGAGCAGCGCTTCACTGAATCTACTACTGGATCGGAATCGCGACCCACTGAGAAGATCCGGCGAGAAACTCAATGGGCTGTATCTATGGGTTAGTTCGCACGTCGAAATCTTCGTCAGAGTCGACGAGTTCGACGAGGATGGCGTCCGGTGCTTGAAGAGCCTAAAAGCACTGAGACTGGATCCGGGGGATCGGAGAAGAAATGATTTGGGCGGCGGTGGCTTTGCTTTGCCCGTCACCAGGGTCAAATATGCCACAAAACTGACATCCGAGAGGCCGCAAGAAATTGGGCTTGTATTGTTTTGTTTACATGTTGTTTGGGAAAACAAAAGCAAGTGAGAAAGTGCACGTTTTTCCGTACGCTTGCGACTGACAAACTAATAAAAAAATGTTTACATAAATGACCCGATCAACAAATATGATAAGCATTTGTAATACGATAATCGAAAAAATTCAAACAATGTGTGTGAACATTAAAATAAAACGCGATCTAATTTTACAATGTCAATAAATTATTTTTAATTTGCGAATAAGCACTAAAAATTGTTTTACATTTACGATTTGTTTACAAAACTGTTACTAGAGATTACGCAACTCATTATTACGGTCAGGCAATCAATAAAATATGACCTTATTGCGTAATTACACGACGTGCGAATTACTTTGGGGGTCGAAAACGATTCATACATCTTTTTTTCATTCTACAATAACAGTTCATTGACAACCAATGCCAAATATAAAACAGCCCATTGCATATTTCACATTTCTATAGAATACCGGCTGCGTTTCGCGGATTCACTGTTATTACTTGAGTTACTGAAGTTGCAATCAGGCCATCATATCGGGTGATCGCTATAGACCAGACGAGCTCGCCCGCTTATTGCCCCCAAATAGAAGAAAGCCTTCTGTCAAACACGAGGCAAAAATCACAATTGCTTTAGAACAGCTGTTCCATCCATCGAACCGGAATGCATGCTTGTTTCGCTGTAGCTACTGACGGGACTAAACCTACACCCAATCACTTCCGACTACTTTATAGTTATCGTACGAACTTATCTATCTATCTATATTCTATGTGTATATATATAAAAATGAATTGCTGTTCGTTAGTCTCGCTAAAACTCGAGAACGGCTGGACCGATTTGGCTAATTTTGGTCTTGAATTATTTGTGGAAGTCCAGAGAAGGTAGATAAATATGAAAATGCTCGGAATTAAATAAAAATAACAATTTTGTTTTTCCTTTGATGTGTCCCCCGTCGGACGGATTCCTTTCGTTTGTTTTACATAAAGGTCTTTTATTTATCGATTGAGGCACAACGAAGTCTGCCGGGTCAGCTAGTACTAATATATAAATCTACAGTGGTTTTTACGGATGTTACGTTATAACTACTGAACCATGCATCCGATTGACTTGAAACTTGGTATATATGTAGAAAATACATGTACTTGATGGATAGGTTAATATTTATGAGTTTTGAACTCCCTAATAATAATGACAATAAATTGGTAATAATGTTAATTTTAAATGCCCGGCAAAGCCGGCGAGTACGGCTAGTTAGTTTATACTTATCGTATAGTAACGTTAAGAAGAAAATGTCTGTATATTTATTAAACCATCTTTGATTTAACGAATATTTGAATCAAAAATTATAAAAAACTCACATTAACTAAACTGACTCCCAAGCAGACCATCCACGCCCAGCCACCATCGGGAGCGACCTTCTTCGTCGCTGGTGGAAGCTTCTGCTGCTGTGGATCTTTGGTGTTCGCCGTCATCGTTTAGCCTTTGTCACCTGTTTGTCTGTAAACAAGCACATGGAATAAATTGAGACAATTAAACTCTTATGTTAAAGTATAATGAATTTTGTACAATATATTTAAAGATTTCAAAGAAATATAATATCTTTAATCTATACTAATATTATAAAGCAGAAGAGTTTGTTTGTTTGAACGCACTAATCTCAGGAACTATTGGTCCGATTTGAAAAATTATTTCAGTGTTAAATAGCCCATTTACTGAGGAAGGCTATAGGGCTATAACATCACGGTAAGACCAATACAAGTGGAGCACCAAAAAATAATGTTTCAAAATAGGGGTTTAAATAGCTCCTTAACATTCTATAATTCAAAAATATTTTCACTTTCTACGTAAATCAAGTGGGGGGTAAGGTTTAGCGATATGCCAAAGTAACTATTCCACGCGGACGGAGTCGCGGGCAAAAGCTAGTGTTTGTATATTTGGAAAATAATTGGACCAAAATAGTATAATATACGCTTAGAAACTATAGTTACTATAGTCTGCCAAGAGTAACATGGGAACACCGTTTTCCCTCAACGAGAATAATAATTATATAATATCTATAAAACAACCTAATAGCAATAAAAACTATAACAAATCCCCTATAAATTAATTATTAATAAACATTCGCTCAGTGATGACCTATTGTTTAGGAGAGGTACATTTCTGAGTGGTGTTATCAGCTTGACTGTTGATAACGATGTTTTCATTTAAACAACCGGCCGGTTGAGTGGCACGCTTCAATAACAAAGCACGCAATGTTGAAAACCATAATATAGGGTTGGCGGTATTCAGAAAATTATGAGGTCAACATAATATATAAACCTTAGATGTTACATGAAAGATATTTTTTTTAAACCGCGGAATGCAATTTCCTGTAAGTAAATAAATCTATCATAGAAAGTTCGTTTCTCCTTATTTTCTAAAAAGACAGCTATATTTTCGCAATTTAATATTTGATTAAATTGCATATAATAAGCCAATCGCGAGGTAATTGTTAATCAGATTAATCGCCAAGTACTCGAAGAAGATTACGCATAGCGAATGATAACAGAGCAACACCGACCACTATAAATGTAAATCTATATAATATACTAACTAATATTTATTTATTAACATTTATAACATTTAACTATTTTAATACAACTACAAAGATTACTGTTTCACTCAATCTATACTAATATATAAATGTACAGTGGTTTTTACGGATGTTCCGTTATAACTACTGCACCGTGCATACGATCGACTTGAAACTTGGTATCCAGGTAGAAAATACGTGTACTTCATGGATAGGCTAATATTTATATGAGTGTTGGACTCCCTACACCAGTTGCGGGGGCGTTAATTATGAGAATCTTTGTGGGGGTGAGAAATAATAATGTAATTTTTAATGCCCAGCGAAGCGGACGGGTACAGCTAGTTGCTTATGAATTTGAATGACGGTGCAAACACCAAAACGCTGTTGTATATTATTCATGGGAAACACCAAAGGACAATGCCCATTTTCTATGGACGTTTGGGCCCCTAAAAAAAGTTGTCGGGTGATGATCATTTTAACTTAATTTGATAGACAAAGAAATATCGTTTCATATTCAGAAAACGATTTTTATTTTCTCATCCAGGTTTAAGAGAAATCTGTTTTTTTCTGCAGCTAAAATTAAGTTGTTAATTGTTTTCTTGGAAATCAATAATCGCTCTCATCATTATTTACAGTATTAAATAAGTTAATTGTGGTTAATGTTGCTAGAAATAAGCCCTTACGTACATTTTATTATTATTATATCCTCATAATAATAATAAAATGAAATGAAATCCGGAAGCTGGCAACGATATTGTTGTTGTTGTTTTTAAATTCGCCAACAAGCAGGCAAAGAGCGTAGCCTATACAGCCTAGTCTGTCGTAGTTATATATTTTTTTATGTTAATAAAAAGTCGGTGTATCTCTTTTTATTGATTTTTGGGAGTTTTGACGTCAACTCGATGAATAGCACATTGAGTGAGCGTGAATTTCCGCAGACCTTTTATCTTGAAAAAAAAAACAGTCACTGCTATGTGAGCCACAGCTTTATTCCAATGCCTCAATAATCCTGAACAACGATTATTGACGTTTAATACACAAAACAACACCCAATTTGTATATTATATATCACAATAAACTATTAAAAAAACATTAAAATATAACTTCAAGTGACGCTTCACTCGGGTTGCTACCAAAACTCTCTGATCATATATAATCAGAATAGAGTAATGGTAGGCCATCGAGATTTTTACTAATGGAATCATTAATTTCTAAAAATATTAAATAATTCACGGTTTTAAGTCATAATTATTATTACAATACATAAATATTGAATTGAACAACAATAAACTAAAAAGTCTGTGAATTATAACCATTAGCTATTTTTTTTAATTTGTTGTTCAAGTCACAGACAACTCTTTCGTTTGTCAGCATATAGGTTTACTATAAGGCTGTATGGGCTAACTTGCCCTTTGTCTATTGGCGAATTTAAAAACTATGGCACTCAGTTTTGGGATGTTATCAAATAAGTAATTAATTTTTTTGTAAAACAATGCCAGGGTGAAAGAAATGTTGATACATAAACTAAACAACGTGAAAAAATAAGGCATAGTTTTTCAAGTACAAATAGTTTTGTCATGATGTTGGCCCACTTTTGGGCATTGTCCTTTACTATTAACACAACTTTATAATTCATTTTTGTTCGTAATATCGACAGCCCTATAAATATTACATGTAGTCCGTCAATCATGTTGTTCGCACGTGGTGCGTCATACATGCAGATACCACGTGCTCAACGAATGCGGAGACCCCACAAACTGAAGATTTGGAGGTCGACCAAATTCAAAACATGTGTGTACTTGTACTTATTTTTTTGTACGAGATGTAGGTATTTTAGCGATTAATATTTACCTTAAAAGTGACAATGACACTGAATTCTGCGATCTTATTTTTTAAATATTGGTGTCATTAACTCGTATGTAATTTCAGTAAAATAATAATCATACATTTCGAGAAACAGTGTAAAATTGTTCGACTCGGTCGATTTAGTACGAAATATGCCCTTGTAGTACATTTAAAATTTCAAACACACAATTCATTTAGTTACGAATTGACCTCTGTTAGTGTCAAACAGAATTTCAATTTGATAAGACCCTGAATATTATTCAGTCACTCCAGAGGTTACACGTCTACCCCTCTACCTTTATTCTTTCATTTTTCAATGACATGAACGTTACATGAAATGTACCTATTCGGTGATAGCCCTAAAGAATAATAATAATATTATTGAATATCAATAATAATAATATTATTTAGGGCTATCAATATCACAATATTTATTGTATCTTGTGGATATATGTTTAATTGCCAACAGTCAAGGGCGAAACGGACAGTTGGGTTTATACCACTCGCTCGTTTACCAGCTACAGACAAATCAAATATACGCAACATGATCATTGTGTTTTTCATAAATTCACTTAGAATTACAAACAAAAAAATTATCTTGAATATTTCAAAACGCTACATAATCCTGTCGCTCTTACAGTATCTGATACACTTTAGATACGCGTAAAGCATTTTCAAGTGGTAATTGCAACAGATTTTTTTTTATATCTTTTCTCTGTTAACCTATTTTTTATGCTGCTAGTAAAAAAAAAAGGGTGCGTGTACTTATGTACGCGCGTAAGAAGTTATACTTTATTTTTATTAAATTTATTTATTATTTTTTTATTAAAATTTTAATCAATTTGAAAAAAATCGATTAAACAACATTCTCAAACACGCATATTGGACATCCCTTTTCTTGACATCATATAAATTCGGTAATTCTCGGTACGGTTCGGAAAGTTCACCTGCGGCTATATTCAGACTCGCCAAGTTACGTCGGTCGTATTGTATTGAGCGATTTAGTGGGCAACTTCATTTCTGTTAATTTTGTGTCACGGTGCGCGCGCATCGTAAAATTTCACTCTCATCAATTTTTCATAACGCGCCTAAAGAAGTATAACTTCAATAACTTCAAAAACCTTCCATGCTGTATTTTCAATATCGTTGAAATGAAATTCTTGAGTTTCATGTAACAACCAAATCTCAATTTCGAGTTCGATATTTAAATGAACAACATGCGAATTTGTTTAATACAATTTGCCAATAATTTTAACGGCCGACTGGTGTAGTGGTAAGTGACATGATCACTGCACAAAGGGGTCGCGGGTTCGAATCCCGCCAAGGGAAGATATTTGTATGATAAATATAAATGTCTTTTCTAGGGTTATGGATGTATATTAAATATACGTATGTGTATAATAAAAATCTTACATTTATTTCCGTTATCTGGTACCTGTAACACAAGTTCTTTACGAACTTATCACGGGACCAGTTAACGTGGCGTGACTGTTAGTAAATATTTATTTATTGTTATTTATTTATTTTGTACTCGAAATTAGATAAATAGAAAATAGAAAACGGAATCTACAGGCAAGCATTTATTTCAAATGTTCACTAGAAGGTTATGTGGTACGATTTATATTATGGAGATGTAATCAATTAACAAGAAGCTTTAATTCATCTCGAATCGTGATCACGCACGCAACCTCACGTACCTACCTACCCACAGCGCGGCTGTTTTGCGTTAAACAATCTATCAGTTACAAAGTCCAACGAATCTCATTAAACCTGATGCCGGTCGTGAAGCTGGTTTTTTATTTTTTATTTATGATATTAATACAAGTTTAATCATAAGTGCTTTATGTATTTGTTCTGGTAATTGCTTTGCGTCGGATAAAATTTGTTAAGTATTCGCTGCATTTCTGCAATGCAAATTTAAAATCTTGACACGGCCGAGGACAAGGTAACACAGCGACTCGTACCTACGCATGTTGTTAGTTGTTATAAACCCGACTCTAAACAAATACAAATATTAGACGACGATAATATGTTTAGCCACACGAATGACGGTTATTTGACTATTATTTTCGCGTAAAAATCCCAAGCAATTAAGTTATGTAGGTATTAATTAAACTCACCTATGTTTGTCGGTTTTTTTTTATTGCTTACATGTTTGGACGAGCTCACAGCCCACCTGGTGTTAAGTGGTTACTGGAGCCCATAGACATCTACGACGTAAATGCGCCACCCACCTTGAGATATAAGTTCTAAGATCTCAAGTATAGTTACAACGGCTGCCCCATTCTTCAAACCGAAACGCATTACTACTTCACGGCAAAAATAGGCAGGGTGGTATACTATATACTACCTGGAGCCACTGCGGTCATCCACAGTGCGTTTCCAGAGATCTTTTTTGCCACGTACCATCCGGCTATGGAATGAGCTCCCCTCCACGGTGTTTCCCGAGCGCTTTGACATGTCCTTCTTCAAACGAAGCTTGTGGAGAGTATTAAGCGGTAGGCAGCGGCTTGGCTCTGCCCCTGGCATTGCTGAAGTCCATGGGCGACGGTAACCAGTCACCATCAGGTGGGCCGTATGCTCGTCTGCCTACAAGGGCAATAAAAAAAAATAAAAAAATACCTACCCGCGCGGACTCACAAGAGGTGCTACCACCCGTAAGATTGTTTTGAAAAGTGAAAGTGCATAAATATATAAATAATTATTTCGAGTTGACCCATATTAAGTCAAAACAGTTATTTTGTTTGTTAGAGGAGAACAAAGCTGACAACAGCTCATGGCGCATCTGAGTTGCCACATGTGATGTGAGGTCCATTGTTTGTGTGGCAACATATGAGAATGTCATATGCTAGTAATAAAAATGCGGTCAACACATCTCTTTTTTTTTTTTTTTTTTTTTTCTCCACCTTATCCCACTATGTGGGGTCGGCACAGCTAATTTTTCTCTTCCATTCTCTTCTATCAGCCGTCATCTCAACACTCACTCCTCTCTCTCTCATATCGTCATTCACACACTCCATCCATGTCTTCTTCGGTCGACCTCTTCCCCCTCTACCTTGCACTACCATTTCCATACATCTCCTAGTCACATGCATCTTCTCTCTACGCATCACATGTCCATACCACGCTAACCGTCCGCTCCTTAATTTGTTGTTTACCGGGGCCACTTTCACACTTCCTCTGATGTACTCATTCTTTATCTTATCCATTCTTGTTACTCCACACATCCATCTCAACATTCGCATCTCTGCCGCATGCACTCCTCTTTCATGCTTAACTTTCGTCGCCCAACACTCAGATCCATACAGCACGACAGGTCTAATGATCGTTTTGTAAATTTTGCCCTTGAGCTGAAGGGGCATTCTACGATCGCATGCTGTTGCAGAGACCTGTCGCCATTTCATCCAACCAGCGTTTATTCTATTTGTGACGTCCCGGTCTATGTTGCCGTCGTTCTGGAGTATAGAGCCGAGGTACTTGAAGTCGGAGCAGACTGGCAGGGATACACCATCTAAGGCGATTGGCGTGAAGTCTGAAGAACCACCAAAATCACAAAACATGTGCTTGGTTTTTGTTCGACTGATCTTCAAACCCACGTTTTCCAACCTTTCTTTCCATTTTGCCAATCTCCTCTGTATCTCAGGCCCTTCCTCTCCAACGAGAACAATGTCGTCGGCGAACAGCATACACCAAGGCGCCTCTTCCTGTATGTCCGATGTTAGGGCATCCATTATTAGGATGAACAGGTAAGGGCTTAAAGCTGATCCCTGGTGTAAGCCTACCGCCACACTGAACTCGTCGCTATCGCCAGCTGCGGAGCGTACGTACGTACTAGCTCTACCGTACATAGCTCGAACAAGCCGTTGGTATTTCCCTGGCACTCCTTTCACTTTCATGCTCCACCACAAAACCTCACGGGGAACATATTGGCACTTTATTGGTCACGATACTTTAGGCTCGTATGATTCAGCCTCGTTGTTATTAAACAATACTCGTGATAAGGATGAGAAAGCTGCATTTTTATTATCTTGAACAAACCCGACAATTGTTATACGTTGAACGAACATTTTAAAATATCGATCTTGTATAATTTTACGTTTTCACGCACCTTTGTGCTTAAGAGCTGCTCAGTGATTTCTAGAACGCTGCACTGCCATCGTGAACTCATGGTGCATATTAACTTTAAAAATAAATAAAGCACGTAATGCAAGAGTCTCTGAGCTGTGAAGACATTATTTTATTTCTTTATTGCATTCGAAGAAGAACCAGTCGACGGCCCTCAATATAAGTGGTTATCGAAGCCCAGCTAACCCACGGACACTGAGTTTCTCGCCGGATCTTCTCAGGGTATCGCGTTTCTGATCCGGTGGTAGATTCTGCGAAGCACTGCTCTTGCTAAGGCTAGCGTTAGGAACGTCCACAGGTTAGAATCCCGTGAGCTCACCAACTCGCCGGATTACGCTGGCACAACCCTCTAAATTTAAAAGATTAGGTGGGAAAAAAAGAAGCCCATATGCACGCCAATACCAGATGTACAGCCACATAGTACCTTAATTAAGCATCATTTGAAGAGACATAGCGTAGTGCTATTGGTTTATATGTTGGTAAAAGGAAGAAATAATATTTTGAAACCTCATGAATAACGGTAGTGGTGTGCCAAGAGCGCACAATTATCAGGTGTATTGGAATCGTTCCCGGTGCCTAAACAGGAATAACTATTAACCGAAAGTAAACGTCATTATTCCTTTATGATACTCAGTATGAACACTTATCAATTGTCATACTGCACTGCGAGAGTAAAGATAGAATAGAAGCAATAGTATAAGCAACAGTAACACACATTCAAACAACATAAGGCCAGCAACAACTTCGAGCACATTTGTATTGTTAGGAGCTGGGGTTCAAAACAAAATAATACGCGGGTTTTTGACAAAGACACGTTTGACAGTTATACCCATCAAAATCACATGTCACGTCACCATATCTTGTCATTTCATACTGACTAGTATTTGATAAGCACTCACTAGTATTCACAGTACTCTATGTCGGTATACAGATAGCAATCAAATTTTTATTTCTTAACGCTTGTCACTTTGTGCCGTCTTGTTTGTTGTGATTTGCGCTCTTTAGTTTAACTTCTGTGTTGACGCCCACTCTACGGATCTAGAACGCGTTGTTCAATTTTTAATAATCCCTTGGTTATTCTATGTCATAAGTCTGCTCCCTACTTAGATGGCCTTATTTGTTAATGCGGCTAACTGCCAAGAGAGGACTCTCGCTTTCAGTAGGTACTATAGTAACAATATTAAAGATACCAAAATTAAATAGCCGAGTTGGTCTAATACCTAATCCTGACTACTATACGCAGGGAATCCAAATTCGGTACTCAATTTATTTTTATCATTGATATTCGGAAGCTCGATGTTTTTGAGTGGCTCGTGCGTCTGTTTTTTTTTTTCATTTGTCATGACCTTATGACGGTAACTAACACAGAACCTGCCGTGAAGCAGTAATGCGTTTCGACTTGAAGGGTGGGGCAGCCGTTGTTACTATACTGAGACCTTAGAACTTATATCTCAAGGTGTGTAGCGCATTTACGTTGTAGATGTCTATGGGATCCAGTAACCACTTAACACCAGGTGGGCTNCGTGCGTCTGTTTTTTTTTTTCATTTGTCATGACCTTATGACGGTAACTAACACAGAACCTGCCGTGAAGCAGTAATGCGTTTCGACTTGAAGGGTGGGGCAGCCGTTGTTACTATACTGAGACCTTAGAACTTATATCTCAAGGTGTGTAGCGCATTTACGTTGTAGATGTCTATGGGATCCAGTAACCACTTAACACCAGGTGGGCTGTGAGCTCGTCCACACATCCAGGCAATAAAAAAAAAACAAGATATTTGACACATGCTTGAATCTCGCTAATGACATTTTCAAGATATGTTTTCATACAAATTTAAGTTCCGCATTCGGAACGTCAGTCTACCGTACACATTCATCTGCTCGGTGGAAGATCTTCCCTTTGTCGTTACCTCCCAAAACCTCACGACCCGCCTGGTGTTATATCGTTAGTAGTATCCATAGTACAGGAAGAATTCTAGCTTTGAGCCTTGAGGACGCGTGACCAACGTAATAAAGTATCATTTGGTCATGAACATTCTATTTCCCATGCGCAGCAGGATGAAGAGTTAAAAGTACCTACTGTATTAAATACAGCGCAAAGTTTTAATTGGCTTATCCGGGCACTGCAATAATATTCATAACAACAACACAGAAATTTAATTGCCATATATTTTACTCGTTTAAGCTTTACATATCTCGCACAATAGTTTAATGGCGTCCTAACAAAGAAACATAACGAAACAGAAAAGAATTTGCAATTAGCAATTTGAGCCATAAAAATTTATTTTTGAATGCTATTTATTTAGTTTCGCTCAGTGATAGCTATTGAAAATAGAATACGAAATATCATACATCTTTAGGTGACCTCGAATCTCGCCGAGTGTCTCCGGAATCTAAATATTACGTCTATTGTGTTAATTCGTTTATTTTATTGGCTTACCGCTGGCAGACGAACCATTAGTTTAAACACAACCTTCGCCCATTCTATTAACAACGTAAATGCTTTGTAAACATTGTGGACAAGCTACTAAGCACGGTTCTACCTATAATCTAAATGACATTATTATTCTGTTCGACTACTAATCAGGAGATACGATTGAGACTGCTATTATTTAATTAATTTCGAAGATCGACGAGCATATGTCCCACCTGATCCTCAATGGTCAGCCTCGCTCATGGACATCAGCAGTGCCAGGGGCAAAGTTATGTCTTTACCCTCATATCGTGTATTCGTAGCCTATTTTTTTCTTTTGTAACTTTCTACCAACCTGTAACTTTTTTTTATTGCCCTTGTAGGCAGACGAGCACACGGCCCACCTGATGGTGAGTGGTTACTGTCACCCATGGACTTCAGCAATGCCAGGGGTAGAGCTTAATACTCTCCACAAACCTCGTTTGAAGAAGGACATGTCATAGCGCTCGGGAAACACCGTGGAGGGGAGCTCATTCCATAGCCGGATGGTAAGTGGCAAAAAAAATCTCTGGAAACGCACTGTGGATGACCGCAGTGGTTCCAGGTAGTATGGATGAACTCTACTCCGGTGGCGGGCGGTGCGATGGTAAAAACGAGATGACGGTATCATCTCCAACAATTCCTCGGAGCACTCCCCATGGAATAAACGGTACAAAATACAGAGGGAACCGAAGTCTTCCGAAGTCCCGAACCGAAGTCTGTAACTTTCTACCGCGAAGTTATGAGCTCGGGTTTGAGCACAGCCAGCCGAATTCAACCTTATACAGGTATGTACATACATCAAAGTGGTCTGCCGCATTGAACAAGCTGTCTCTCTAGTGCTAATGAACATTTATATCAATCGATCGAATAAAAAAAACTACCTGACTGCACTAGTGAACATATTTCAGGGTGCGTATGTAACGATTTTGACAAAATCTCCAAGATATTAACAAATTCTCGAACATATTGATCAAGTGCTCAATAGAACCGAGCTACACAAATAGAATATTACCTGATTAAAAGATTATTGGGCAATTGAGTATATTATTACCAACATATTACTATCGTGTTATCATTAATAAAATTGCCTGGTTTTTTTTTTTTGAAGATAGCAAAGAATAAGATAATACTAAAGACCTATTTATTAACTCAACATTAAAATGATACGATAAATCCTCAGACACCGAACATGAACGCCGTCGGATATCAGCACGGAGAGCAATCATATTATGTTCCCATTCGGATGTCAATATATGTATGTAGGTACGTACATTTGAGCACAAAAACTAACCGCACAACGTTAGGACGATAACCCGCAATGATGTCAGAACAACAAAAAGTGCACGTCTATCGCTCCAACTTCGAGGAGACGTTTCCAATGGAAAACTTTTAAAAAAATATTTATTATATATAGATACTAAGAATATTATTATTATTAGCAGCTTCAGGCTTCATATGCCAAACATATGATACATTGATTAATGTTCAATTTAATAAAAAAATTTTATTGTTTAGATGGGTGGATGAGCTCACAGCCCACCTGGTGTTAAGTGGTTACTGGAGCCCATAGACATCTACGACGTAAATGCGCCACCCGCCTTGAGATATAAGTTCTAAGGTCTCAGTATAGTTACGACGGCTGCCCCACCCTTCAAACCGAAACACATTACTGCTTCACGGCAGAAATAGGCAGGGTGGTGGTACCTACCCGTGCGGACTCACAAGAGGTCCTACCACCAGTAATTACGCAAATTATAATTTTGCGGGTTTGATTATTATTACACGATCTTATTCCTTCACCGTAGAAGTCAATCGTGACATTTGTTGAGTACGTATTTCATTAGAAAAATTGGTACACGCCTGCGGGATTCGAACACCGTTGCATCGCTAGATACGAATGCACCGGACGTCTTATCCAGTAGGCCACGACGACTTCAGACGTCGACGACTATTAGAAACGCAAGGGGCAGTAAATGGTAATTATTAGAACCATCAAGTATCATCGTTGCTTTTAAAGCAATCTTCAGTGTAAAGAGTTGCAATTAAAGCGTTTGCAGTGTCAAAAAATAAATAAGAAAGAAAACATTGTACATATATGATGCAGCGTTATTATTACTTATCTATGAAGGACTATTGTTAATGAATACCTTCGTACGTTACACAGTCGATATCCTGATGACCTACTGAATAACAGAAGACAATAAAATTGCAACAATGTAATATCGAAAACCAAACATCTGATTGTAATCAATAATATTATTTTTATTTGCAGTTGTCAGTTATCCAGGTCAATGATCCACTTATGCATTTATCGTAGGATCGATCTGCGCGACCATGTACATTAAAACTGTTTATCAAATCACTTCACACATCTTTCATTACTCGCAAATGCAAAATCACGTGAAACGATATTCGATCAATCAGCGTTTGTGGACCGTTTGTTCATGATAATGTACATGTTACGAATCAAACGTCGCATGTTCTTGATAAGTTTTTTGATCCGGTCCGAATTTATCAATAATCTTAGATTAATTTAGGAGAAGCTCTTAGAGATGACACTCCAATTTACAAGTTACACTGGTGAAGAGCCCTTTACTACTCTAATTTTTCAATGATAGCTTTGCCTTCAGGGTATTTTCAGAGCGCCGTGATGACCATTTTAAACGGGGATTGAAAAGAGTATTCTGCACCCTTATACGCATAGGGACTTGGCATCACCGGTGTGCATCTGCCACCATGGTCATATAAGGAGGATTGTTCGCATAGTTTCCACATTTAGTACACGAAAGTAATCCAAATTGAAGATAATTATTAAACAACTTTTATACAGTTTACAAATGGCAGACCCAGCAATTTAATGCTCGGAGCTCACACCTTACAAAAAAGAAATAGCCGTTCATGTCTGATTGGCAAGTGTACAGTTGCACTATGCAGAATCTAGGACTTACATTTCTCCTCTACATGAAACTTTCACCCGTATGCCTTGTCACAATGTAAATATCTTTGCTCTGTGTCTATCGTAAAAATCTGACAAGAATTTATTTTTTATATTGGGCTGAGAGAAAAAATGGATTTGAATGGCAGAATAGGTATTCTGTTCCACAAAATCGATCTTAACGCGTGTGACTACGATCCGTAAGAGAAGAAACAACGACGTATAATACTAGAAATAATATCGCGCAAAAATAATGCTGTGGTTCATTCATTTTTTATAAAATTTGGCTTAAAGGTCTCGTTACCGGGTTATAAAATCTTTAAAAAAAATTACAAACTATACACTAGGAATTGTATTTTTAATTTTAGTTTTCTGTGACTATCGCGGTTTTGTGCACTCGAAATTTTTGTCGAAAGGGCAACACATATCGTGAAGTAAAACCAGACACGCAAAAATATTGTTAAATCAATAAATATTGGTTGGTTAAAAATAAATCGTTGTTATGACTTTTCATTTCGCGGTAAATTATTATCTATCTAGATATTATTAGATATTATTATATATCTAGATATTTTGTGAAAATATTTATTCCGCCGATTCTGCTGTACTAAGAAACCACAAAGTACTTTGTTGTGATGATTCACACAACTTCACAATGTCTTTTCGTGAAATACTTATATAAACTTAAGTTTTTGTCATAATTTCAAAAACATTTACTTACTGATGTTTTTGTATAGGTAAACATATTCCATCTTTAGAAAATTGTCTTTTTGTCTCGGCTAGTCAAACACGACGTTTTTGTTAATTTTAAATCGTTGTTATGACTTTTCATTTCGCGGTAAATTATTATCTATCTAGATAATAATTTACCGCGAAATATAAGTATATAAGAATATAAGTAAATGTTTTTGAAATTATGACAAAAACTTAAGTTTATATATTTAACGAAAAGACATTGTGAAGTTGTATGAATCATCACAACAAAGTACTTTGTGGTTTCTTAGTACAGCAGAATCGGCGGAATAAATATTTTCACAAAATTGTGGGGATTATTACTCTGGTTTTAAGGGAAACAAAATTTCAAAATTATTTGAATAATCGATATAAATATGTCTTGTTATTGCAAAAAAGTGTTATAATTACGTACGCAATAATATCTTATGTACGTACATACGAATATTATTTAAATACCACGAAATTGGTATAATTTCGTNTACAGCAGAATCGGCGGAATAAATATTTTCACAAAATTGTGGGGATTATTACTCTGGTTTTAAGGGAAACAAAATTTCAAAATTATTTGAATAATCGATATAAATATGTCTTGTTATTGCAAAAAAGTGTTATAATTACGTACGCAATAATATCTTATGTACGTACATACGAATATTATTTAAATACCACGAAATTGGTATAATTTCGTGGTATTTAAATAATATTCTTCTATTAAAAAAACCTGTAAGATACATCTTTGTATTTTTGCAAAAATGAAGTTAAATGCTTACCAGATCCTATATACAACACAGTAAATTACTGCCCACCTTGAGACAAGATGTAAATTTCTGAATAATAAAATGGCTACATTACCATTGAAACCGCAATGCAGTATGCAATTAATGGTTTATGACAGAAAAAGGCACAGTGTTACTTACAAGTATTGTTAATAAAATAGGTTCTCACAGAAGGAAGATCTCTTGTTATTTTGTGTTGATAAGAATATTTACTACATATGCTATGTAATTTTTTATAATTGTGTAGAATCTATACTAAATATACTATAAAGATACTGTACGGCTTAGATACAAAAGTTACTTCATCTTGTAGATTCATTCATCATGTCCCATCACATTTCTATGCACATAATACATTTGTTTCTGGAAAGATCACAGTTTAAAGATATATAATTAGTTTAAAAATGTAAAAAACCTAAGTGAAATCAATAATTTCTTTGATAGAATATTTCTATTGTATCTTCTGCAGGTTACAAATTGTAACTTCAGATATTGGAAATGGAGTTCTTGTACTCTTTCTGTGGTTAAAGTATTACGGGTTGTAACCTTATTAAACTTATGCATAAATTAGGTATTCTTTTTCTATGGGAGTTTATAGCAGTAACCAGCAACTATGATTATACTTATATGTATATTAGGTATTCTTTTTCTAACACTACTTTATGGGAGTTTATAGCAGTAATCAGCAATTATGACCATATGCAACATGATCACATACCACATACGTGATAAACTGATATGTTAATTACTTTTAATACAAAAATATATATTTTTAAAACTAACTTTTATTTATTGTTATTTCAATTTTAGAACCAGCAGTTTCTTTAGTCGGTGCAAAATATATTATTGGAAGATGATTATATAGTTTTATTAATTTATTTTTAGAGATGTGTAAAAATGCAGGGCCAACCAAGTGCCGAGTGATCAATGCAGAACACAGACATCACAATGAGAATGACCATCCCCCACAATGACAGAGGTTAAAACTCCTAAATATATTTTACAACTGTAGCTGGAAAGCATGACTACTTTGCAACAAAAATTATTATTTAGGGATTCCTACTTGGGCAGGTGGGTGTTAATTTTTTTTGCCTTTTTTTATTAGTCATTTTTCAGCATAGCAATATAGACTATGTCCTTGAGTGAACTATATAAAATGATTATAAATATAGTGTGGTAGCATTATGCAATAAATGCATATAAGATGGACATTGAACCCATGCTCTTCTTTTTATCTTCTCTTTAAATTAAATGGGCGTAACATTTCCCATTTAAATTATTCAAAGCTGGTTATACATAACTTACTATAGGTTTATTTACATTTATGTAGGCCACCTGGTCACTGTATTCAATTAGAGCTTGTGTAAATAGCCACTAATTAAATAAAAATATTATAATAACTCACCTTTCCAAATTTATTACCCATAAAGTTACTATAGGAACAAACACAGACACTACAAAATTTGCAAAAATGAAATATATGATATGTTTAGATTTTTTTTACGATAAAAATAACGCAACTTTGATAAGGCAAAACAAAACAATTCATCACAAATTTTATAACAGGATCCTTCGATGAAAGAAACCAAACTATACACAAAAATTTAAACTGAAGATTATTTCAGATTAAGTACAAGTAAACAAAAAACAATTTGCAACAAAACAAAGAACGTACACTTCGCAACTTTCGAAACAAATGTTACTGTCACAGAGTAACATCAATTTGTCACTATTCAACATAGATTAATACCAATTTCAACCGATATCCGTAATAGAGGTCAGTGACAGTGACAATCGTGTTTTACCAAGCACTCTAATGCTATAATGATATCTTTTAATCTTGAGATTTGGTGCATTTAAGATTTAGAACATATTTATCTTGTATTTGGATCTTAAAGTATTTACCATAGCAAATAGAACACAAAAAATGTATTTGTTAGCACTGCTTACAAATATACACATTAGTGAGGAAGAAAAGAAGTCAAATCCATTGGAATCGATCACTTTCCTGCTTGTTACCGTGCTATTTATGCCAAATTTATGGAACCATTAATGTTTAAACAGTTTCTTTAGCAAAAAGGAAATAACCAGACTTCCACCCACGCGTTATGGACTGTAAGTGGAGCACGGTAACGCATTCCGGTAGAATACACCTCTCCTCCAAGATCTCACTTTGCCTCTCGGTGGATAGATTAGTTAAAGGACACTAAAAGCATATCGTCAACAACTTAAAACTTTCTTGTATTCATAATAATGATTTATTTTTATAATAATATTCGACATTTACCTTACCTAAAAGATTCTCATCGCTGTGTTTAACATAACCTATTAATGAAATGAGTTTCAACATTAGGTAGGTACCTAAAATCATATTCTAAAATTTTCAATTACTGTAGGTTACAAAATATCAGTCTCTAACATGGTTTTAATTTTACTAACAAAATAATAGAATCATTTGCCATTCACTTAGATTAGATTAGTGCAGGTAAATAAATAAAATAAAAAAGGCATAAGGAGGTGACTCAGCTAATGCTGTTCAAAGGGAATATATCAAAAGCACTGATTTTCAGTCACCTTCGTTCCCCTTTGGCTTATTGCAGGATTTATGACTAGGTACGTGCAGAAACTTAAAACTTGGTATAAACTATAATAAAAATAAGTAATATAAACATAATAATAATAAGTAATAATAAAATAATTAAATTAAAAGCTCTCCTTCAAAACTTCTTACAGATCTTTCTAGTTCTAATACTCAACAAACATTTCAAAAGATTACAGTAATAAACAGCCAAATTTTCATAAAGTTTATCAATTTCTAGCTGATTGAAGCTTAATTTTGGCAGAGCTCATTATAGTTGTGACCTGTAAAACTTTAAACTTAGTTCCCGTGATATTTAAGCATTTTATCTTTATTTTACCATCTAATTAAATAAACTTTAAGAGAAATAAAGGTATCAGTATGAAACATTTCTTTACGAATGTTCATCTCTATGCTTTGGCTTATACTCTATACAATGTAATTTAGATTGAATCACACTTTATCCTCTATGTATCGTCCATATGTACCACTAGCACATGGAACATAGCCTATATAGCCAAGTCTTTTAAGAAGCACCATGTTAAGTTTGTTGCATGAAAAATATAATGGAATGTAGAAGTAAAATTGTTGATTATTGAATGTAATTTAATTAAATTAGCATCAGTTCAGTAATTCAAACAATGACTATTTAGAGACATTCTAGAGATATATTAACCCTTTGCACTTAAGAGGTGAGTCTCTGATGAGTTATTAACACGAACCCTAGCAAGAGCCGTGCTTCGCATCTACCACCGGATCGGAAACGCGACCCACTGAGAAGATCCGGTGAGAAACTCAGTGGGCTGTGTCTGAGGGTTAATTTACTCGTCGAGCCCTTCGTCGCAAGCGACGGGTTCCACGAGAACGATGACCGGTGCTTGAAGCACCTAAAAGCACTGTTAGTGGATCGGGAGGATCCGAAATGACGTGTTTGGGGCGACGCGGACGTCGACTGCTTTCCATTCTGCCCGCAGAATCGGGAATGTAGTTACCGGCGGCCACGATGAGAGAGTTCTCGTGTCGTGCCGCTTTATCGAAGTGGAAAAATTCCACGCGCCATGTAAACTATTTATGTTTCTTTATTTGGTGATTGACATAACTTTTATGTTTCTAATATCGTTATTTTTGTCATTTTGTCATTAAATTATGCGGTGAGCGCGTAAACGATTTCTGACGCTTCAAACACCTTCTTTAATGTCTCATTTATATATTTTTTGAGCAAAAACGCAACATATGAATCTTCTTCTGAGTCGGCCTCTTCATTGCTGAAGATCGTGTCTAGTTTGAAATGTTAACCACTCGATGCACTATACTTACCCACGTTTTCCTGTCCTCAAAATATGAATACGAGAATATAAACGGCTTCCTCGGTATTCACCCCGGATATTTTTGTCTGTTCACCGCGTGGTGTTGGTTTTTTTTTTGGAATGAATCATTTAAATATCGATACCGATATTAATATATATTCGTACGTTTGCATATTCATATTTATTTAGATAAAAGCACTGAATCGCACAAAATTTATGTTTAAAAGAAATAGTATCAGTGAATATAAAGGAATTACATGGAAGAATTCGTGCAGACATTCTTCGGTGAAATATTTGTTGATAATCTAAATGAAGCATAACAGTGTTTGTGGTCACGAACAACTAAATTGCTACACGTGATAATTTAATTATGTGGCTAAATAACATTTACATAATAAAAATAAATTAATTTCAAATTCATTTACATTTCTTTCTTAACAGAAAGAACTCTTGAGAACACGCAGATTTTATTTTCACTTAAGATGGCGCCGGCTGTTAGTTTAGCGGCAACTACATTGAACTCAATATTTTCCTTAACACGGTTGTGACTTGACGCAACGGAATTATATTTTTATCTCTACCTAATCGACAGTATCTTAAGCCTAACAACTCACAGGCCGGTAGGTGAGCTCACATACTCAAATTGAGAGAATTACTAAAAGCGATTCAGCCAAGAGCACTACTTTCCTAAAACTAGGTACCTACTACCAGATCGGAATCGCGACCCACTAAGAAGATCCGGCGAGAAACTCAGTAGATTGTGTCTATAGGTAAGAAATGATACTCGAAAAGCGTCACTACAAACAGATAAATATAATGAACATCTATGGAATTTCGTCTACAAGAGAATGAGAACGAATACGTATAACGCATGTGAACTGCACCCTTTTTTTAATTCAAGATTGGTGAAGTAACTCACTGACCATCTGGCTTTATGTGAGATATGAGATCGAATTTCGACTTGTGCCTACTCTATAACAGCTACCCACCCTTCAAACTTCAACGAATGACTCCTACAGGGATAAACCGAAAAAATCCTAAAACATTAGACCTAAATAAAATTTAAAGTATCGTCTGGTTTTAATAATTTATTTAATAATATACATAATTAATATTTTAATTATTAAACAATAGAAATTGGCTGTGATCATTGAATTTCACATTTCCGCTATATACTTCAATAATCTTATCTTAAAAAATCCTTAACTAAATTTATTTACTAGCTTGTAAAAAAAGTAATATTTACTAGCTTGTATCTTTACAATGCTCACAGTAATCGGCGCCACGTATCTAGTTAACGCAATAAATGCAGCAAAGCAAAAGTTAAAAAATATATATATTTTGTCCTTTTATCACTGTGCTGAAGCACGCACGCTTCGCGTGTTCTGAGTGAGTACTTATTTTATTCTTATTTACGTGAAATTCTGGGTATAAATGTATTTAATGTTAAGGTCCGTCGTCAGTATACACATAAACAATAAAATTTAATTTAATTTAATTTAAACTAAAATCCTTATAATTAAAATTCTAAAATCTTTTACGGCTTAACCACGTGTTTTTTATTGTTTTCATATTATTATTTCCTGCGTGTAGTAGTCCGTGGCAACGAAAACCAATTCGAAACGTCTGAATTTGCATTAAAGCTTAATACGAGTAATAGTTTTAATTATGTCTACTATTCACGGAGAAATTACCGAAACATCCTTAATTCTGACAGCTACAGTAAATTAAGATACACGCAGCGTTCTGATTATTATCTCTCATTGTAGTAGTATGTCCTAGGTACAATTAGTATTTAGTAGTAAGTATTAGTAAGTATGTACAATTCACAATATCAGGTTTATCTAATTAATGGGTACTAAATTTGTTTTTTGTTAATGTAACAATCTATTAAAGCACAATAACAAGTTTTTATTTTTTATTGCTTAGATGGGTGGACGAGCTCACAGTCCACCTGGTGTTAAGTGGTTACTGGAGCCCATAGACATCTACAACGTAAATGCGCCATCCACCTTGGAATATGAGTTCTAAGATCTCAGTATAGTTACAACGGCTGCCCCACCCTTCAAACCGAAACGCATTACTGCTTCACGGCAGAAATAGGCAGGGTGGTGGTACCTACACGCGCGGACTCACAAGAGGTCCTACCATCAGTAAATTTGGTATACCTAAAAAAGAACAAAAACACAGAGAAGTAATCGTTAATAGTTAATGGACTATACTTATAACGCGTAGGCTGAGCACTTTATTGTATGTATTGTGTGCACATTTAACAATAGGATGAAAGGTAGCCTACACTCTTTCTTAGGGCTCTAACTATATGCAAACCGAATTTCGTCAAAATCGATATACGTATTGTTTTGGGCGTCAAAACGTAACAGACATCCTACTTTTCTATAAATAATATTTAATATCTAAGAATGTAAAAGTACATTCAAACAAACAGGGAAGCAGAAATTAATTATGCGGACCACTGGTTTAGGCCCTATTACCTACTCTTTTTTTAGAAACCCCGTTTTTATTTTTATTACTTTTATAATCTATTATAATCATATTTTATAATTTTATAATAATAATAAAATTTTATAATAATATAAATTTTAGATAAGGCTAATGAAAAATTTATCTAAATTGCAACAATCTATAACAAAAATTGACGTTCCACCTGCTGCCAAAATCCACTGCCAAAATCTGTTAAGGATTCTAGTGTGGACTGTGCAGTGTGACACAAACTCAAAATATTGTGCATTCGTAAACACAATAGAAATACGAGTATAACTAATAATAAAGTTGAATATAGCCAGTCTTGAAAATTTGTAATAAGCACTATACGTTACGAACTAAATTGATAACAACGAATATAAAAGAAGCCGCAAGAAAATAAGGTTCCGTCCATTTTTACCCTTCTATTTTAGCTATCACCACTCCAATACGTGAGACTGAAAGCCAATCAGTAACAATCATTTTCACTGACAGTGTTAATACTGAGTATTCATTGATTAATGTGAATTTATGACAAATTTAGAAATAATTAAACAAAAAAAAGCGTTACATGACTTGTCACTGGGCAAATAATAATAAAGGTTTTTTTAACAGTAAACTGTATTATTGGTTGTTTTACTACATTATCCGGTCTTCGGAGAATGAGCCACGCTTATTCCTTCGAATTATCGTAGCGTCACATGGAAAGCCCGGAAAGAAGCACTTTGAAGGAGATATACTTAGCATGAACTCTAATTATGTATTTCAATACATTTAAAAAAATTACATTCAATTGGTTCAGATTGTTCTATTAATTAATCGGTTTAGTCTATTCAGTGTACGAATTTGCTACCTATAACGATTTTAGGGCATAAATTGAATTTAGAGTAAATTGACGTTGTTAGATACCTCCATTCGAAGTGTTTGTGTATTTTAGTTTCAAATGGAACCATGTATTGTAGTATAAACCAGAACCTCTGGTTGCAATAATTATTAACTTATCGTGATGCGTTGCTCAATCCTAATAATGATATTGTCACGAGGGAGCTCATAAATAGGTTATCAGTTTAATTATCAAATTTCCTAGTAGTAATTCGGTTACCTTGTCAGCAACATAGAATGATTATAAATGTTGCTAAATTTGTAAACGCATTTGACTAAACCACTTTTAAATAAGTAAATTCTTATTAATATGAACCTAAATAGAAACATGACAACGCTTCATGTAGAGTAACTACATAGTATAAAACAAAGTCGCTTTCTCTGTCCCTATATCTATCCCTATGTATGCTTAAATCTTTAAAACTACGCAACGGATTTTGATGCGGTTTTTTTTAATAGATAGAGTGATTGAAAAGGAAGGTTTATATGTGTAATAACATCTATTAAATAGTGGAGAATACAATAATAATTTACAGTTTCCGAAGCGAAGCGAGGGCGGGTCGCTAGTTTATATAGAATATAGATTTTAAAAAAAACTGCACTTCCGCATTGGGAAATTTCTTGAGGTAATTTTTTTGTTTTATGCAATGCACTTATTTTCATTGCTTACCAATTAATACAATTACTTTTATGTAGGGTTAGTTTCGTTCAATAGATAAATTATTTCAAAGATGTTAACGATAGCTTCGCCTAAAATTTTGATGGTCAAACTAATTTGTACCATAAATTTATTTTCGTTTCGGCACTGTTTGAAAATAACAGAATAAAAAGTAAAATATAATATAAAAAAAATATTCAGTACAATTATCATTTTCTTAGACTTTGGCTAGTTGAAAGGCCATCTCATACAACAAACCACAAGATACAGTTAGTTCTATCTTATGTCAAACGTGAACGGAAATCGTAGGCACGCGCTCGTGATAATAAGATTCACACTAAGGTCGGTGCTCTTCATTCGTTACTCCGAAATGTCAAATGTAAGTTTTTTTCGATGACCTGATTAATATAACAGGCCATTAAATAAAAACACTACTACCTACTTGAGACTTCACGTGATAAGCGCCTGATAAAAAATGAAATAACCACAGTATTTCTAACCGATATGATAAGATAATGTTAAATTGCTCTCCTGTTATAAGTACCGTCCTCTGACTGAATTAGTGCGTAATATTGGCTTATGAGGTTGAGTTTATAATTATAATAATTATAACAGCTGCTAGAAATCAGATATAAAAAAGAAAGGTAAAACATTACATAGGGGTTTTAAGTGCAAAGGGTGATACCTAATATTCAACTCCGTGTTTTAATTTTATCGGCATTAGAAGAATAAGTGTAAACCAAAACCAATTCATTGTTGAAGTTGACTTTTTCAGGGCCAACATGTCCGCAGTTTTTTCTTATTCCTTTGTATCCTTTGGACCAGCATTATCTGAAACAGTACTACAGTAACGGTGCTAGAAACATCACCATAAAAATAAATTATATTCGCTGATACTAGTAATTATAAAAACAATAGTAAATAGGTACTCTTATTAATTATTCCCTAATCCCTCTAGTCTTAAATACCTAGTCTGTAGCTCACCCATGACGTATTTCAACTGCACATCGGTTTGAATCACCTCAATCAATAAACAATCAGGTTTTTTGGTTAGGAAACTAGGAAAATTTGTGTTTGTTTGTTCTGTATTCGACCTGTATGTTCATGTCTCCAGAGGCCAGTGTTTATGGGGAAGACGTACTTCAGATAGCAATTACCACTGTTAAAGGCGTGAGCTCCTACTAAAATATTAAAATCACCTCAAGAGCTTACTCACTATTTCAACTCTCAACTCATTGTCAACAAACAATAAAAAAAACTTCTAACATAAAATTTATGGCCTATTTATGTTTATCAAAAGTCTTCATGTTTTCATGTTAAAAATAATAGCGAACTTATTTATCTATTAAGGACATGCAAGTATAATCATTATGAGCATAAATAAATTATGACCTAATTGAATACAAAAGATTGTGTATACGACAGTCTAGGTCCAGTCATCCAATTTGGAGTCGTTTGAACAATGCACACAAACAAACATGTACATAGCTACGAAACATCTGATAAATCTGTCGTATTTAAAATGCTTACAACGATAATGTTTTATCATTACATGTCCAGCTCTATCGTAGACAGTTGCTCAAAGCGGTGATCAATGTTTCAGCGTGGGCCATCTAAATTAATTAATCGAATAAATAATTTGCAGAATGGCAAAAACGAAGCAATTGAAAACTAAAGTGAAAAGAGATGGTGATTTTATACCTCCCGATGGTGGTTGGGGTTGGATGGTTGTCATAGCTGCCGGCTTGTCAAACGTAAGTTTAACGTTTTCAATGTACTCCAGAATTAATTAAAAACGAATATCTATAAACATAAATTCACAGGAATGCATCACTAGGCTCAGATAATTTTAAAGTTCGAAACGCCGCACTTCCAATTTAAGTTTTCTTCAAAAGCATAAATAAACGTTAATATATTAATATAGTGAAACAAAACTGTTGATACATTAACCTGCAATAAATGTACAAACACGAAATCGCTTTTATAGATTTTACGTGCACGTGCACAAATGCCACAACTTCGTTACTTTTTGACCAGAGTGTTTTTGTAGCTTTTCTGACAGATATCGAGATGCTTGATCGGCCTACACTGAACCGTCGCGACAACCATACCCATAGACACAGCCTAATAAGTTTCTCGCCGGATCTTCTCAGTGGGTCGCAATTCCGATCCGGTGGTAGATCTTGCGAAGCTCTTGCTATGGCTAGTGTTAGCAAATCCCCTCAGATTGACCCCAGGAGCTCAACTACCCGTCCACGAGTAGCTGGAATAGCCCCTTAAGTTGACAGCGAACGGGCAGAAAAAAACAATCATACCATTCATATCTTAGAATCTAGACAAACCGTGAACGAACTTCACGTAGCGTTCGTGTTCTTAATAGGAAATATGAAAAAGTAAAAAAACATTGAAAAAATTCATCACTTTACAGTTAATAAACCCGATAGACTTGTATTGAATGATGCAATTATGCTCAAATCCTCCTGGCATGTAGTCATTTTACTAAGTAACATACCTAACATGTCGTCACAGTAACGTGATAATTTCATTACAGGGTGCAACAATTCATTTACTTATATTATCTTAGAATTATTCATTGTAGGTCACACTGGGAGTCCGGGTCACGGGGTTATACCATACAGTCCTGGTTCAAGGGATTAAAGCAACACCGAATGATTAACCAGATCGCTAGCCTATATTGTATAAAAAAAGCGTCCGATCGTCTATTTTGAAGCAAAAAAAAAAAAGAAAAACGTGGACAGTGTTACAACTTGTTTTTACATTTATAGGGTTAAAATATCGATAGTTTCCCTGTTCAATTACATACTTAAAGTTACATACGTATGTTAATAATAATTGTAAAATCTCCCTTTTTAAAATCTAAAGGCCTATTGTACTCGTCGCAAGTAATGTAACTAGCGCACTCAATTAGACAGCAAATCCATTCATACATACACTTACATAATAAAAATATTGTAATGGAAAAAATCTTAGTTTTTAGTAGTGATCAATAACATCTTCATTATGTTTTCCCTATTAACAGGCCACTCGACGTTTCAAGGAAGCACGCTTCTTATCTTGGCTTATAAAAAATAACGATAAGTTCATTAAAAATTTCCATGGCACGAAAATAGATATTTAGACTTAAGTCTAATATGGCTATTTTTTTTAATGTTAGCCGGTTCAATTTCCTTCAATCGTTTTCTTAATTTATTCTGTTCTGTGTTAAAAAGAAATGTGTGGTGTCGTGGGACACCGGATAGGAACGAAGTTTCTTATTATAAAAATATTAATTTTATACATCTTTTATTATGACTTTTTTAATACTAAAATTTTAAAAAAATAGATATAGATACTTTACAAAGTTATCAACTTTATTTTATTCACAATGATTTATAAAAAATATATAATAAACATATGTTATTTTTTGCACGTTATTACAAAGTTAAGTCGCACACTGTGTGCATTACTAATAAAAATCTTACGTTACGGACGTTTTTTCCCGGTCAAAGTACCCCTCCGCATCGTCCCATAGGGAACTTCGTTCCAAAAACCTTTCATTTCGTAAAGTTATGTATAAAAAAACTAATTTTCACAATTTAGTCTCGCATTTTTATTATGTATGATTGTATTATTATTGTCGACATATCGAATTTTTAAATGTTCATGATTACGGACGACAAAAGTCTGAATTTTTCCAATAACTACCGCCTAATTTAGAAAAAAAAACCAAATCTAACCTCACGTTTCATTTCACCCAGAACCCGAAAAATAGTTTACGATCCAGGATAACCGAAGAAAACACTAGGTTCATTTCCTCCTCGCGTCGTTTTCCTCATTACTGAGGGTCGTGACTCCCCCGCTGCATCAGTTTCTCCCGTACGATTTCCCTCCATCTGCTGCGATCCTTAGCTCCATGAAGGGCATTATGGAAGTTGATGTTTAGAGAAGATCGTATTTGGTCCGACCATCTCGTGGTACTGCATCCTCTGGGACGTTTGCCATCTACCTTTCCTGTCATTTAACATAGGAATAAAGAAAAAATCTCAACTCTTGTTTTTCAGCTGTCAGCCTTGCCCATATTCCAGCAGTTCGGTCTCCTATTCCGCGACAAGTTTGCAAGACTCGGCATTTCCAGTTCGCAGACCACAACAATCATCAACATACATTCAGCCCTGAACTCATGCGTGGGTGCGTGACGCGTCCTGCACGGTAACTCTTTAATGCCATAACCGGTCCCTTCACATTGTACATACTATCAATGCAATAGATATTAGCGCTAATCTTACTCGATAGGCCTTTAGATACGGAAGGCTTAATAGTACTTATCTAAGCGATAGACAAACCCAATTAGGAACTTTATTGTTATGATTTTACAGAGCACACTATTATCTGATACTTCAAAGTCTAAAGATATCAAATTCGCCAAGTTTGTTGTTAACAGAGCTTAGTCTAGATGCCGTAACTACTTCTCTGGAAATTTGTTCCACACTGTCAATGTTTGTGTCACATTAGTTACAGTAGGTACGATTCATACGATTCAGACGATTAAATATCTCGTTGTGTCTGAGCGACATACAAGTTAAGATGTCAATAAGCTAACTGATTAAAACAAGGTCAGCCGTGATCACGCATAAACACAATAAGAAATAAAACAATTTCCTATTATAAAATAGATTAAACACAATGACGAATATAATAAGCTAGTTTTCAAACAATTATTATAAACCATTTTCTATAACCATTTTCTAAACAATTTTCTATGCTCTTAACAAAATCAGTAGTCAATCTAATCAACGTTTGATGTTCAATTCTTTAGTGGTAGTATTTTTGTATTTCAGGTTTGGCAAACGGCCCCGTATTCAGAACATTTACTTACCGTCAAGTGTCGATGACGGGAGCCATACTTGTCGTCAGCGCGCTGATGCTAACCGTGTTCGCGAATAGTTTCGTGACTTATATCATTACCTTCTCGTTACTTTATGGTAAATATTAATAATTAAACATTATTATTTTATACTAGCTGTACCCGTCTGCAACTGGTGTAGGGAGTCCAACACTCATAAATATTAGTCTATCCATTAAGTACATGTATTTTCTACATGGATACCAAGTTTCAAGTCAATCAGATGGATGGTTCAGTAATTATAACGGAACATCCGTAAATACCACTGTAGATTTATATATTAGTATAGTTTTATGAAAATTATTCACAATACTACTGCTACTACTACAATGTTATAATTACATGGTTTTTATTATAAAAGCATCTACAGAGAAATTAAAGAGTGTTAAAGGCACAGTTGTGAGTATCTTCTATATTTCAATACCGCATTTCACCAAAGACAGTGTGCTTTAAATTAGTGTAAATAATACACAGTTTCTTTTTATTCAGGTGCTGGGTATGGTATTACAAGTGCGTCTAATGCTTTAGCTTTGAATACCTATTGGAAGGAAAGAAGAAGATTAGCAACAGGCCTGTCGTGGACCGCAACAGGCTTAGGTCCCATGGTGTGGCCTTACGTTATTACGGGTTTATACAACGCCTTCGGTGAAACTGGGGCGATTTTGATAATCAGTGGCGTGTCACTCCATACCATTGCGTGTGCCCTGCTTCTACAACCAGTAGAATGGCATTCGAAAAAACCATCCCCAAAAACACTCGAAGAAGAAAAACTTTTAAAGGATAATGATGAAAGAAAGAACGAGAGTGGCTATTTCAGTCAATTGACCAAAATAAAAAATCTCAGTGCCTTTTCCAGTCAATATTTATATAATGAAGACGACCCAATTAACCCTGGTTATGAAATTATAGATCCCGGTGTACCAATGATGGTACGCGCTAATGATGGGTATTTTAGTCAGTCTAGACAATCGCGAAGCAAAGTATCTTCTAGAGATGGTTCAAATGTTAATTCACACCTGGCGTCTAAGAAACCATCAATGACAAATTTACTGGAGAACAGATCTCGGAAATCGTCAACTTTGTATCTGAATGAGTCCAAGAAGAACTCTTCTGCTAATCTCGGAGCTCTGGCCCAAGAACGAGATCCACTTAAACCAAAACGTAAAACTTCTATTACAACGAGAGATGATCTTATTCCGGAATCGGAAATAGAAGATTGTCCGACTCTTAAAGCACCGCAGGATTTAAAAGCAGAAGAAAAGGTGGTGGTTGAAAAAATTGACCCAAAGCAAGCACTGGTTATTGCAGATAAAGCTCAAAAGCATTTAGCAGGTAGCAAAAGTAGCAAGAGCTTGAAATCTTTCAAAATGGATGGTCAGTACGGAGACAAATATCAAAAAGATAATCATAGTAATATATCTTTCAAGAACAATGAAGAAAATGAAGAAAGAAAATATTTACGAGACAACCACAGCAACCAATCCTATCGAACGAAACATCGACGAAAATCAAATAATTTCAATTTCGAAAGCGAAGTTTTAAAACAAGCATCTTTAAAACTAGAAGAATATTTGAAAGAGAGAGAAGACGACGTAGGTAAAGCTAAAATCATAGTTACTCCGCCGCCGGATAACAATAACGGAGAAATACGTCAAAAGGATGAAGAAGATGAAAATAACGAGGAAGAAGAGAATTTGACATTTTGCCAAAAAATCACGCTGTTCTTCGATTTAGATTTATTAAAAGACTTATCATTCATTAACCTAATGCTGGGTGTCACATTGGCGTGTTTTAATGAACTAAACTTTTCACTTTTAACCCCGTTCATCTTAGGAGACTACGGTAAATCTAAGAGCGAAATAGCTTTTTTTATGTCGTTACTGGCCGCAACAGATATTTCCATGAGATTTTGCACACCATTCGTTGCTGGCAAAATCGGGTGGGAGAACAACACCTTCTTCCTTGTTGGCGTTATGACGATGGCTATGGGGAGAGTAGGTAAATCCTAATACGTTACTCATAATTCTGTTTCATTAAATGATAATAATATTTTACAACCGTATATTTATCCTTCAGTTTTAGCATACAGTCAAGCCAGCTGGGTTTTGACCTCTGTGGCAGTAATAATTGGTTTCGGTAAAGGCCTACGTACTGTATTTATGGCCTTGGTAATTCCTACTTATGTACCACTGGACAAATTGCCTGGCGCTACTGGACTTCAATTGATAACTGCAGGTGTTGTTTATCTGGCATTAGGACCTGTTGTAGGTTAGTATTATCGCAAATTCTGTTACTTAGTTGCTTTTTTTAATACGCTTTTATTAGCTTCAGACGTATGACGTATGTGTGTTTGTAACGGAATCTTTGAACATGATTTTGACCCCCTTCAAAACGTCGGATTAACTCGAAATTTAGTATACTTATTAAGGACCGATGACAATACAATACATATTTTTTTTTAAAATTCAACTAAAAAATGAACAATTAATAATAGTTTAAAAAAAGTAACAACGCTTTTTTTACAATAAAATCATTTTTTCTTACACTATTTTTAATTCAAATTTATTAAAATTTATTTTCTATTTTTTAGTTGGATTTTCTATAAAAGCGTATTTTGTTAGTTTTTTTAAACTATTATTTATTTACTTTTTAATCCTCAGTGAACGTCTTGCGTTTCATCAATCTCTTCTAAGTCATTTATTGGAAAATAGCTTTATTTCGCTAACAATTAGGTTGAAAATTTCAGTTCTATAGATACAGGTCAAGCGAGGCTTCACAAAGCAAAAGATTTTGTTGCTTGATTCGTAAAGACGATATATAAATTGTATGATATATATGATACGTCAAATTCACTTTTTACTGAATTGGCCAGAGGTCGGCAATGCAATGTGACATTTTGCAGATTAAATGAAAAACAATGACATCTTTATTGACATTTTCTTCACAGGTTGGATCAAAGACAACGCCTCAACCGCCGTTACATTGCACTGTCTGAACATTTTCACTTACTTGACAGCTTTTACTTGGACCCTTGAGAAATACATCACTGCGAGGCGACAAAAATCAACTGAACAAGATATGAAAGCTTGATTAAATTTACTGTATTTTTAACGTATTAATAAATAAGAATGTAAATGAATTTAGTGTGTGTTAATAAATAGAGAAACGTTACACATTCGACGATCCCAAACTATAAATTTCTCCTGTGTTACAAGTGTCGTAAGCAAATACGAGACAACAAACAAATACTATAATATATTCATATACATGTTGGTATGTTAATCATAGAGGTAGTAAAAGTACATGGCGAAAAGAAAACTTCCATCGAGCGGGTTATGTTATTATATAAAATATACTAACTCCTTTTGAAAATATTCGTATATTATACAATACTGTGTTACGTCCTTACGGATCCATCAGATCCAATAACCTTTGCATTAGACGCCTTCAGCTCTAACACTAGGAGCAGGCTTATGGACCCCGGTAACCGTACTCGTCGAACTCGCCAAAGAGGTCGACGTGCAACCTAACCCATGCATCAGCTCGCTGAGTTTCTCGCCGGATCTTCTCAGCGGGTCGCGATTCCGATCCGGTAGTAGATTCATTCGCGAAGCAGCTGCTCTTGAGTTGTTAGGTCTCCTTCGGAGGCGCTCGGGCAACTGCTAGCAAATCCCACCCCTCCTGGCTGAGCCTTTGCTCGCCCACCTGTTCTGGGGAAACTGGAAAGGCCTCCGGGCCACCAGTAAACAATCACTCATAAAAAAAACAATACTGTTACATTAACGCAAACACCAAAACTCCTTAAACACAAAAATAGCAAAACCATATTTCATTCTTAATGCTCAATAATACAGGTGAATAATCTTGAATTATCGCCAACTAGGATTACAAATTTCTCAGCCATTAAAATCACAAAAAAAAATGTAATATGCAAAAGTACCGTGCATATAAAGCTTTTTCAAATAAACGTTACTTTTTAAAGCTTCTACCTTGTGTTTTCCGGAAAGAAATCGTGTCGCATCTAGCCTTCGTATTTAATTAGTAGGTATTTATAATTCTATCAATTCCTAGATTATCCGAAACCGTAACATGTATAGACAAAACGTTCCGAATTCAACATTTATAAGGTCAAAAATTTAATCGAATTAACTGGTTATCCTTCTATGTATGCGGATGATCTCCATTAGTTGACAGTTGTGAGGCCACGAGTACACGGAGTGGGGTCAACTATCAGTGTGAGTGTTCATCCAGATGTTAACGAACTCTATGAACAAAAAAAAATCTAGTGCAGTGTGAATTTTGAATTGTGTAGTAAACAAGAGTGAATATAGTCCTATCGTAATATCTCTGCGGGTTTAATTCAATATAATCAGTGCAAAAAACTCAAATCACAAATAAATACTCTACCTACTATTTTAATTGTAGGTTTACAAACGATTTTTCATTTTTCAATATTCTTAAAGTAGGTATATAATTTAAATCCCAAATCAATTATCCAAATTAAATTAATCCACCAAATAATCAAACATAAGCAAAAGATAACTTTAATTCTGTGCGTGACCACATAATCATTGATAAAGTTGATTTTTGTCTAATCTTTTACAGGTTGCCCAATTTTATTCACATTACATAAATGTTTTAAATAACTGATAGCTGTACTGTAACTAGTGTTGGCCTAGTTACAGAACAGCTTATCATGCGTTTATTTACAATTTACCAGTCATATTGTTAAAGATAAAGATAAAAGTAACACAGGTACAAAAACTACTAATTAGACCATAATAATTTCACTTTTTTTTTAAATCATACTATGTGGTCGCCATATGCTAGATAGCCACGTCGAGATACATTATTTATGACTTATGATTGGATTGTCGATTCGAATTTAAAGACAGTAGTCTTTGTAATGTATAGGTGAGTGTTAAGCGGTTACCGAAGTATTTTTGTTTATTGCTTAGATGGGTGGATGAGCTCACAGCCCACCTGGTGTTAAGTGGTTACCGGAGCCATCTACATCTGGCATAGACATCTACAACGTAAACGCCGCCACCTACCACCTACCACCTACTTGAGATATGAGTTCTAAGGTCTCAGTATAGTTACAACGGCTGCTCCACCCTTCAAACCGAAACGCATTACTGCTTTACGGCTGAAGTAGGCGGAGTGGCTTTTTATTTTTTTTATTGGCCTTGTAGGCAGACGAGCACACGGCCACCTGATGGTGAGTGGCTACTGTCGCCCATGGACTTCGGCCTTACCAGGGGCAGAGCCAAGCTGCTGCCTCCCCGTAAGTGCTCTCCACAAGCCTCGCTTAAAGAAGGATATGTCATAGCGCTCGGGAAACACCATGGAGTGGAGCTCATTCCAAAGCCGGATGGTACGTGGCAAAAAAGATCTCTGAAAACGCACTGGGGATGAACACGGGGGCTCCAGGTAGTATCCAGGTGGTACCTACCCGTGCGAACTCACAAGAGGACCTACCACCAGTTAAGCGATCATCAGTCTAGAGATATGGCAACGTGTTAATGTGCCGCCCATATTGAGACATGGGCCCTAGTCTCAATTGTATTGCACAAGCGCTATTATATTCACTATACGAATAGATACCCTTGCCTATTTCTGCCGCAAACCTACGGCGGCACATCTGTTATAGAACATAATTTGGCGTATTTAAATCACGGTGTAAACGAAAAGAGAACTTGCACCTAAGACTAGTCGACAATTTCCCAAGCCCTATTAAAATAAAATAATCATTTAAAAAAATTGTATTTAGAATAGATAGAGAATCGAATGACACGCTATGTTTATTTTAAAATGTAATCTTAGATTAATTCAAACTCTGAGCTCGGAAAATTCCACATATTTGGAACACATGCTTGAACACCATTTACTGTATTTGAACAACATTATCAGTATTAAGACGTTATTTTTATCAAGATATAAAAATATGTAAAACAGAACTGAACTGCATTACTCTTCTGCGTTATTTCATTATAAATAAGTCAAGTCCGTAATATTCAATAGGCTCCAAGAGACAGAATAGAATCATCCAAATCAGCAGCCACACCGAAAAGTTAATGAACTTTTAAAGAAATAATAATAAAACATCGAAAACAAACAAACATAACGATTATTTCCAGACATTCACATTTTAATAACGTCATAAAATGTAGTTGATAGCGCCTTATTATACTTGTAGTAGTCGAAATGATAAGACACAGAATTCACTAAATAAAAGTTCATTTGTGTTGTTGCTGACAAAGGGCGTTAACGTATGTTTAAAATATTATTTTATAAATGACGACATACCTAACAGAGTACTAAATAAAATGTGGAATTACAGTGATTTTTGTTTAATGTGTATTTTATTGACGTTATCTGAAGAGTTGTAAATGTATCAAGATGTCTAACGCACCTGCGTACAAGGTGCCTCCAGACGGAGGATACGGATGGGTCATCACATTCGCGTATGCTTTGAATAATGTGAGTATTTTTAATTGAATATACGGTTTTTTTTACAGTTGAAAATGAAAATCTGGTTTTAAACAGAATATTACATCAATCTGTAACGCAAATGTGTTCGATATCGGTAAATCCTTTTTTATAATTGTAAAATTCACGAACATAGCAAGAACAAGGAGAGCTACGTTTGAAAATTACATTATCATAAATTGTTATCTTTATAAATCTTAAATGTTTGCGTAGATACAACTGCAAACTATCATACTCAGATATTTAATAGTTTCATTAGTGCCCCAATTAACGCAACAAGTATCATTTAACGCTTATTCTCTAATCATTGAAAATGTTCAATGTTTGCAATATTACTAAAGGCCGATTTTAAATTAATTCATATATAACTTTACCTTGGTGGTAGGACCACTTGTGAGTCCCCGCGGGTGGGTACCACCACCCTGCCTATTTCTACCGTGAAGCAGTAATGCGTTTCGGTTTGAAGGGTTGGGCAGCCGTTGTAACTGTACTGAGACCTTAGAAAAGCCTTAGAACTTATATCTCAAAGTGGGTGCGCATTTACGTTGTGGATGTCTATGGGCTCAAGTAACCACTTAACACCAGGTGGGCTGTGAGCTCGTCCACCCATCTATGCAATAAAAAAAAATAAAAATAAACTTGGCTGAAAACTCAGCATCAAACAATCAAACAGCCTACGCAATATAGAAATGTATAAACTAACAGTTACTCTATAAATCCCTTCGTAATATTTCGAAATGGAAACTATTTCACAAATTATCAAATGTTTATCACACAATACGTAATAATAATTGTGAAATTTTATCTTTTAATGTCTTGTGTTGGATAGTCAATCGTACTTACGGCACTAAAACTAGACTCAGGTCTTTTTGCTATTCTTCTAGCGTTAAGGAAATCAATAACTGTCGTATTTCGATCGTATAACATTAGAGTAAGAAGTAACAGTAGTGTTAAGACAGAATATTCAATTCTTTTTCGTGTGGATAATTTATAGACCATAAAAGGAATGCATTAATTTTCGTTGAGAAAACAATTAGCACTCATGAAAAACATGAGGCACATCAACATAAGCTTTAAACTGATAATGACATATTTAGCATAAATAATTAATCTATCTACTTTTACAATTTCTATTATGGGCTTTCATTAATGCCAGAAAGAGTTGATATATCTGAAATACCAGGCTCACTAGGCGAAGAGGTTTATACACATATACCAAGTGACAGGTATGGTCCATTAGAATTTCATCTCCAGGACAGCTTCCTTTGTACATACATTTTTTTTTCCCCTTGTGCAGACGAGCATACGACCCACCTGATGGTGAGTGGTTACCGTCGCCTATGGACTTCAGCAATGCCAGGGGCAGAGTCAAGCCGCTTCCTACCGCTTAATATTCTCCACAAGCCTCGTTTGAAGAAGGACATGCCATAGCGCTCGGGAAACACCGTGGAGGGGAGCTCATTCCATAGCCGGATGGTACGTGGCAAAAAATACCTCTGGAAACGCACTGTGGATGACCGTAGTGGCTCCAGATAGTATGGATGAACTCTACTCCGGTGGTGGGCGGTGCGATAGTAAAAACGAGACGCCGGTATCATCTCGAACAATTCCTCAGAGCACTCCCCATGAAACATACGGTACAAAATACAGAGGGAACCGAAGTCCTTCCGGCTCACACACTATCACTATTCTAAATCAATTAACCAATTTGAAATATCCTAATTGTATCTTGTGTATATCATAAGAGCTATCTTCCATTTTAAGATTCTTTTGTTTGATTAAACTTTATCTACGCGTGCACATTTCCTTGAAAAAATTACACAGACGTTGATAGACACATGTTAAAATTTAATTTCTACGTGGAAAGAATTCGATTATGAAATACAAATGCTGGTATTTCGACAATATCACCGATGCGTACTTAATTAAATCTTATCAACATAGATTTTTATTTACGCGTCAACACGAGTATATTTTAATCTGAGACTGCAAAAATAAGATAATAACGGTGTTGCTGACCTGATTTATTAACAAATACTTAATCTGGCCAATAATTAATCGTACAAGGAGAACAGCATTTTTTTTTCTATTATTATTAAAAAATCATAGTAGTACCGTGTGTATTACTTTATACTTGAATAATATATCATTTAAAAAGTATGGAGCTCTTTCAAAATTATTTCTGTTAACCTGTGTAAAATCCTGCAAACGCTGCGGCCAGCTGTCTATTGAAACACTCAGTTTCACCGTCGGGAATTTGGTCACTGGTATGTTTTAGGGACTTCAAATTATCATTACCCTCGGACGAATTCCACGCTCTTTAAATGATACAATAAAGCAGATTAAGGTCGGGACTAGACGACGGGGGTCTTCAGCTCAGATGATGTCGGAAATGATACTTACGAGACACATTTTTAGCCCCGAGTTTGAGTTTTCCTGAAAGAACCTTTCATAGGCGTGGAACATGGTGTTATTAAAAGTCAACTGTTAACTACCTTGATACGATTGTTTGAAACATTATCACAAAGATACGTCTCGGTTACTAATTGATTATCAACATTGATAGGGACCAAACCATTAGTGAAGCCGGAAAGTACGCTGATTGCACTCTAACAACTAATCAAGAATCTGCAGACCTTTGAGTTCGAGTATCCCCCTTCCTTATTTACAATCATGTTCATTAGTAAAAAATATCTTGTCTATATTAAAATATACCCAAGATTTTTGTGAGCCCACATGTTCCAGTAACCACTTAACACCAGGTGGGCTGTGAGCTCGTCCACACATCTAAGCAATAAACAAAAATAATAAAAATAAAATACTGGTGGTAAGACCTCTTGTGAGTCCGCGCGGGTACTGCCCTGCGTATTTCTGCCGTGAAGCAGTAATGCGATTCGGTTTGAAGGGTGAGGCAGCCGTTGTAATTATACTGAGACCTTAGAACTTATATCTCAAGGCGGGTGGCGCATTTACGTTGTGATGTCTATGGGCTCCAGTAACCACTTAACACCAGGTGGGCTGTGAGCTCGTCCACCCAGTTAAGCAATAAAAAAAAAAAAGCATTTTTGTTTGACGGGACAGTCAATCCGCAGCCTATTTGAAACTTCGACTCAGGCCCAAGGTGGGTAGGAGCATTGTGCACGTCTATAGATTTTGTTAACCTTCAAGTAGGTCGCGAACTCGTCTACCAACGTAATATAATGGAACAGCACGCTGAGTTTTTCGCCGGATGTTCTCAGCGGGTCGCTGTTCCGATCCGGTAGTAGATTCATTAGCATTAGTAGAAGCAGTCGCTCTAGAGTTGTTAGGTCTCCTTCGGAGGCACTCGGGCAGCTGTTAAAAAATACCACCCCTTCTGGCTCAGCCTTTGCTCGCCCACCTGTCCTGGTAAAACTTGGAAATGGATTCCGAGCCACCAGTAATCCTTCCATCATAAAAAATATGTATATAATGGAATAGCATTTTATCACCATGGAACTTTATATAAATTAAATTGTATCAAATTGTAAAATGAATAGAATAGCAAAGGTTAAACCTTAAAAATTTTTAATCAGGCTTTTATTCATTTCCAGGTAGTTGTTCTACCCCTCATTAGTAGTTTCGGTCTGGTGTTCCAAGAAGCGTTTGATGAGACGGGTTTGACTCCTACGCAAGGGACCTTAGTTATAATACTCAATCATAGTATTGGAATGTTGTTGTCGTTCTTTGGAGGACCATTACTACGACGGTTTGGATACCGGAAAGTAGCTGCCGTCGGGGCTATACTTATCTCTGCTGGACTCATATTAACGAGTTTAGCATCCAGTTTCTGGGTCTTCATTTTATCGTACAGTATTCTAAATTGTAAGTATCTTGAAACAGTTTTTGAAATGTATAATGAAACGTACAGTTCGTAAGGAAACTTTCGTTTTGAATTTCAGCAATGGGTGTAGCTTCAGTAATGGCTGCATTCACATTAGCAATTAATTCGTTCTTCAAGGAAAAACGAAGTAGAGCAATCGGTGTCGGCATGTCAGTCACAGGACTTGGAGCAATTTACATGCCACTGCTCATGAGTACTCTCATTTACGCGTACGGTTGGCGATATGCTGTATTAATATTGAGTGCAATTTGTCTTCACTCACTTTTAGCGGCATGTCTGCTAAGGCCTGCGAAATGGTACTTAAAAGACCCACCGCTCTCGGAAGAGCTTGTACCTCTAAAGAAAGAGACTGATGTTGAACTTGTCAACGGTAGCATTACGTCTTCATTGAAAGGTAATCCGACGCAAGATGTGGATAATGTTTACAAGTACTGAATATCACAATAATAATATTAATATTTTCAGGAATAGCTTCTTTACATATGAATGATACGAAAGAAAACGGTGGAATTCCAATGAAAAGTTTTTCTATGGGATCACTGAACAGTAACTCAAGTTTGCAGTCAAGAAATGCTGTATCGCACCCTGATGTGCGTCCAAAGCAAAACGAAACACCACTAGCACAGGCGCGTTACAAATGGTGGGAGTCACAAGAAGTAAATCTTGGGAGCTCCATAAATATTTTCAATGAAATCATTGAGAATAAGAAACATAAAGAAGTCGATGTGTTGACGACAGAGGAAAAAGAGAAAAAAGGCTTTTTACAAAGCTTCGTGGATTTCTTTGATTTAACACTTTTAAAAGATCCAATATTTGTTAGTATCCTAATCGGTCTCTCAGTGGCTGCTTGTGTTGAAACAAACTTTTCTCTGCTCTTACCAATTATTCTTAAAGATATGTTAAAATTCGAAACAAGCGAAATAGCTCAGATTATGTCTATCATAGGTTTCTCAGACACACTGTTTCGACTGGTAGCACCTTTTATTGGAGAGTGGTGGAATAAATCTCCCAGAGTTATGTACATGGTTAGTTTGACGCTAGTAATTATCATCAGAACTAGTAAGTATTATTGATTAGCTTTAATTTTTTTGAGATCGTTGTCAAAGTATTTTTGTTTGCTTTCTTTTTTCTTTTTTTATTGCTTAGATGGTTGGACGAGCTCATAGCCCACCTGGTGTTAAGTGGTTGCTGGAGCCCATAGACATATATAACGTAAATGCGCCATCCATCTTGAGATATAAGTTCTAAGGTCTCAGTATAGTTACAACGGGTGCCCCACCCTTCAAACCGAAACGCATTACTGCTTCACGGCAAAAACAACCGTGGCGGTGGTACCTACCCGTGCGGACTCACAAGAGGTCCTACAACCAGTACAAAATATCTCTGTCAAAATATCTGTCTCTGTGTAAGTATGTTCGAATAATATTATTAATATTGTAATGGTGTAAACATTGTATTTATTTGACTTACCGGATGATAATAATAATTCATAAACTAACACGCAAAAAAATTGTTTTTTCAGTAATGCTTTTCACGCATTCTTATTTAGGAATGGTTTTCGTGGCAATAGCCATGGGATTTACAAAAGGAATACGTACTGTTTACATGAACTTGATAATCCCTTGTTACGTTCCACTGGAGAGACTGCCATTTGCTTCTGGGATACAAATGTTTTTCAATGGTATTATCATCGCCTCAATCGGATCGTTACTAGGTAAACAGCATTATATTATTTTCATATCATTATTGTAGTAATTGAACTCGCATAGTTTTTCTATTAAAAGTAAACCAAAAAAATCTAAGCTAAATTTATACACATTCTCGGTCTACAGACTAGATCAATTAAAAGCGTTCTATGACAACTAGCTATAGTAATATAATTCATGAATCGCATGGCAAATACCCGTGTACTAAGTTAAAAAAGAACACTAACAGAAGTTATTATCAACAACTTCATTATTAGATGAGCACAAATTCTGCCCAAACTCGTAACGTAGCACATGTATCGAAATAAATAGGTGGTAAAAACTGGATGTTCAGTATAACTCTGGCTATTTTACATTTAAAAAGTAAATATTAGACGTTAAATCCTTTTGGGATGGAAATCACGATCTTTCTAATTATTATCCTTCTATTACTATCTAACTGAATATAAATAAATAAATAAATAAATAAATAATAAATAAATAAATATTTACTAACAATCACGCCACGTTAACCGGTCCCGTGATAAGTTCGTAAAGAACTTGTGTTACAGGTATCAGATAACGGAAATAAATGTAAGATTTTTATTATACACATACATATATTTAATATACATCCATAACCCTGGAGAAGACATTTATATTTATCATACAAATATCTTCCCTTGGCGGGATTCGAACCCGCGACCCCCTTGTGTAGTGACCATGTCACTTACCACTTCACCAGACGGCCGTTAAATGTACAACATTTAGATTATTTGATTACGAGTATATAATTAATCGTTAAAACCGAAATAATACTAAAATCGAATAATTTATCACTTTTTTTTAATTTCAGGTCGCATTCGTGAATCTTCAGGAACCTACATTATGCCTATAATTGTATTAAACATAGTCACACTTTTAACTATAATTCTATGGAACTGTGAATTCTTGTATCTAAGAATAAAAAATAAAAATCAAAAGGACAACCAACTTGAGGCTTAAAACTGTCTATTTCATTTAACTTTTTCTTTTATTTATATTTAATATTTTACTATACCGCTCACGTGACTCCGTAATTACATTGAAACAACTAATAATGCTTGTAGATTTTATATTTACAAAGATATTTACATTTTACATCTTATAACTTATCTAATTAGTCTTATTTTCCTTACAAAAACTTTATTTACACAAGTCCACGATACTAATTTTATTTTATAAAAATGACATAAGCAATCCACATTTTAATAGTAAGAGTGCCCGTAAAATATGTCAATTTGTATTAAGTACGTGGAGTTACAGACATTAAACACTATATCATACTTATATCACGATGCAATTTCACTTTTACAAGACACTGGCCGAGTGTTCTTTTTGTGTGCACAATGTCCAGCACATGTTAGAAGTTTCATCAAAAGTCACAAATTATTAATTATTGAAACATAATATAATATTTCATTAGAAGAATCATAACGTCACTCTTCAAATATTCTTAGGAGTTCCTATGGCTGTTATACCTGTCGAACCCTGTAAAAAGTACATCCATATTAAGGAAATATTTCGAATAAAAAATTAATCTAAATTGTTCTAAATTCTATGATTCGTACTTTGTAATTAGTACGGAATTAGTACGGTACAATATTTACATTAGTTGATTTGTAGTCACATGTGCAACTGTGAATTTCATTTATTAAAATCGACAAGATATGTTTAATTTTTAGAGGTGTGGCAATGAAAATTATGTCAAGAGTATTATTAGTAAAAGAATAGAACCTCTTCAAGCAGAGTTGGACTATCTGGCAGCGATTCGACCTCCAGAGCGTTTACTGAAAAGAAAGTGCATTTAATATATAATACATTGTGCTCAAGATTAATGGTGACTCAAAATATTAAAACACTCACTGCTTTGGAACCAGCTTTTGGAAAATTCATAAGTGTCACTTCTTCCTGATTCTATCTTCCCTCCTGAGGTAAAACCAAACGATGGTCTGTTCACAAATGTAGCAGATTTTAATGGGATTTCATCTGATGCATTTTGAATACTGTCAACTATCGTCTTTTTTGTTTCAAATTTTTCATTTACGTACCAGCTATTGGAAATATTTCCGATGTCTCTCCAAGGTCTCGATGTAACTACATAAACTTTTTCTTTTGTCAAAGGTGATATTGAAGTTTGTATTTTACCCCACGGTGGTGGGGTCGTTGTCGATGTACTGCTTGTTACAGGCGTTGTTCGGAATGACGAAGCAGCTGTGTATACGTGAAACTTATTTATTTCATTGAGTGACCCATTTTTATTATCAGTGTGTTTTGTTTTAGTTCTTTCAATCATATTATATTCTTTTCGTGGGTATGTTAGTGTGCTGTTGATTTTATCGGTTGAATGGACGATATGTTGAATACTGCTTGCACTTTCATGATCATAAAAATCATAATTATGATAGCTATTCGTTTCAGAATCATAATTGGTAGGCACAGTAGTTGTGAAAAAATCGTCAGGTATTTGTTTCGCGAGTTTTTCGCTGCTTCTCGTTTTCTCTTGATTTTTATATTCTTTAGAATACTCTTGCTCTGTCCAATCATCGATGGTATGTTGTAATTTAATAATGTCAAAAGGCGTTTCTCTCACCTCATAAAAATTATTAAAAGTATTTGCTGGGCTTAGTTGGTCTTGATCGTAATTTTCTAACACCTCCTGTTTCGTATCTTCTGTAGTGGTTGCAAGTGTAGTATATTGTTCGGTAGTAGTAAAAACGCTTTCTTTATGTGGTGGAATATTCCTTGGTTGGAATTCTTTTTCAGATATTATAGACCATTCTTTAGTGCCTTGGGAGTAATCGTTGTCAACTTCTTTTCTCAAAGTTGTGTATGGCACGATTATTTGAACAAACTTTGGTTTATTAGATTTAACTGGCTCTTCGGCAGGTGGAGACAAACTATGACTGTAATCTGTTCTACTTTCATCCCAACTTGTCAAAGTAGGAGGCTTTGGAGCTATAGTTGTAGAAGGTGCATCGTCATAAATCTCATATTCATTTTCCGCACGCGGAGTAGATAGAGATAATATAAAATCTCCATGATTTTTATGAGGGGCACTAGGTTTCAAGTATAGAAGAGGTGAATCAATGTTCTGTAAATTATTTTCTGTACGATATTTATCGACATCCTCGTCTTTGACACCACGTAAATCTGCAAAGCTTGGCTTGTTATCGGAATTATGAAATGAATTTTTATTCATCTCTAGAGGTATTCCTGTATCGTAATTAATATCATTACCAACATCAACACCTGTACTTTCAAAACTAGCATCTGATGTTTTGGTAGCTGAAATATGATCTTCAGACGCTTGAGGAGAAATGTCTTTTATTTCATCAATCACATAGCTACTTGGTATATTCCGATAAGATTTGCTTTGATTAGTGTTCTGTACAGCGTTTATATCTATGACCGGCGATTCTACAAATGTTGCGGGATAATCGACAGAATGGGTATATTCAACCAACGGTATACTTTGTGCCACATTGTAATTGTTTAATGTTTGTTGCATTTGGTTTATTCCTTGAACAACGTTACTGGGGAAAGCAGTGATCGGCCTAAAAGGACGAGCATTAAATATCGGTGGTAGTGGAGAAACGCTTAAATTTGGTAAAGCAACCGGTTGCAATGTGTGAATATTTCTTCCTTTATTCAATGTAAATGGAGCTGGATTTGCTAAGGCCAAAGAATGTTTTGGATATGTCATATTTGTAACACCGTGCGGTAATACTTCAGTTCGCACTTTTGTTGATTCTGCTGCTGTAGCTGAAGCTGGATATGATATGTCAAGTACGTTGATATTAGTTATAGTTTCGCCATACGAATTTCTGAACTCCGTTGGATGTGTAACCTTAGGAAGCTGTAATTCGTGTGATGGATTTAAATCTCTTAATATTTCTACATCGCTCTGAGGTGAATTATTATTTACATCATTTGGCTGAACTGCTGGTGTCCAAGCTTCGGGCGTAGTTCCGGGATATGGAATTCCGTAAGAATATGATGTAGTAGAGTACATGGGCGCTGGTGTTCCATATAAAGTTGAAGGTGCATACGTTGAACTCATGTGGTTGTATGAAGATATTTCATTTGGAAAAGTATTGAATATATGATTAGATGGAGGTGAGTAAGAATTACTTGTCTGGTCCATAGGTGCACCATTTGGTATCCCGTAATAAGAACTAGGTAAACCGTACGTAGAACTTGAAATAGAGAAAGAAGATGACAATGGATTTTGGGAATTCAATTCCAAAGTATGAGTAGGGCTAGGCGGCCCATATGTAGAGCTTTGTATATTGTTAGACTGAGGCGGAGAACCAAAATTAGGTTGCGGTAAAAAAGACGAACTTGACAGAGTCTTTAAATTTTGATTGACATTTTGTTGTACATGAAACGATTGCGAATTGTATTGTCTGCCATTTTGAATATTGGTAACTGCTGTTGGACTTGGAGGGCCATATGTCGAAACTGGTTTTTGATATGTATTTTCATTGCCTAAATTATTGTATCTAATTACTGGCAGCCACGGCACTAGGTTACAAGGATTGCAATCCTTTTTTATTTGATTTCCATTGTTGCCACTAAAAACTAGCGATGTGGGATCATGACTCGTCTGTTGAGACGGAAACAACCATGTCGATACCTTCTGGAAAAGCGATGGCGACGGTGTCGTTGTAAAGGGCTGGGGTGGTGGTACATAATTAAAATTGTACTGTTTATAGAAAGGTGCAGGAAATTTAAAGCCATTCGAAGGTGGTAACGGAGACGGCATCTGAGGTGGCGGTTGATAATTGTAACCAACATCTGCATTTTGTTGCTGAATCCTTCCACCACTGCCATGGAATGGCACCGGTAATATACGACTAATTGGTGGAGGAGGCGGCTTTAACAACTCTCCGAAATGTGAGGCACTAAACCGATTCCCATCGCTGTGTAGTTTATTTTGATCACACGTACATCTTGCGATTGCAGCTAAGAGCAGAACAGGTAATATCTGAAATTAGAAAAAAGAAAATTCGTTACAAATTTTCGTAAATATTATCAAAAACTATTAAAAACACACAAAAATTGAGTAATTAAACCAACATTACTAGAAAATATCGTGAAATGCGCTATTTAAAAGTACAATGTGTGCTTCTCACGGACTGCTATTCATGGCTCTTTTCTCTTTTCACTTGAAGACTATTAGTTGCGTTATCACTTCAATTATACCCGTGTACCTTTATTCGAAACATTATCAAACATTTCTAGAATAAAAAATAATAGAATAATGGCATTGACAGATTGGCATTGATAATGTGAATTTAGATAAAAGAAATTTGAAATTAAAGGTAACGCGAAATTACTTAATTACTGCAATTACAATCATTGCGAGGTTAAATAGCTCAGTACGAAATAAAAATTCTGTATACAAAGTACTGTTGATCAAAGGATAAAAAAATATATCAACAAGTATATCAAATATATCAAGAGACATCTTTAAAATAAGTAGTGTTCGCACAGTGGTCCCAATATGACCATAATATCTGACTCCACAAGAATTCGATTATTTTGTCAATGATAGCACCTTTACCTTGCATTTTATTTTTAAAATACTTTCTTTAAAGATAAAATATATAATAATACTAAACCTCGTCAATGGTTACGAAACAAAAAAATCAATAGAAAACAGTTTGATAAACTAAGAAAAAAGGCTACCGAGCTGTTTTATCTTTGCCTATTTATAAATATAATAAACAGTTATAGTTTATCTTGCCACGTCTGTTTGTTTTGTTCGATTAACAAAAGAAGACCTAACTTTTAAGAATCGAAGTTTCGTTATTTATTCGAAGTGTAAAACAGAACTAAAAATTTGAATCACGTTACACAGATGACAATTGTTTATTTTGTGTTACGTAAAAATGCAATTGTAGTCTTTTGCAATATCTATCGTAAAGAATTCAAGTGGATACACATCAATATTACGCAACATCGTCGATTACACTATTCTCGAGAATCAGGGCACAACTCGTAGGTATGTGACACACGAATTAATTTGCATTAACTTCTAGTTATCGACTGTGAATAATACAAATAACGTTTAGTATTTAATTTCGATAGGTTAACTAAGTTTTGGAACGTGAGGAACAGCGAAATTGCACGACTACGTGCATGAAGGCAATAAAAAAAAAAATGTCACGACGTCTCCGAAGGATATTTGATGACTTGTTTTTTCTTTTCTTTTTAAGTGAGAATGGCTTGTCATAGATTTTTATTAGGAGCTGAATTTACATGAAAAGTCTTACCTACATAAAAATAAAACCTTAATATAATAGGTTAGGTGTTACATACAACATAACCTGAATACGGAAAGAGGCGACCGTTCGCGCCAAAAAAAATCCCGTCGCTCGTCGTGATTATATCCTGAAGGTTTTTTTTTTCTACAAGAGAGTGAGTGAGCATAAGGGTAATTTTGCTTTCTTGATTTTAGTCTTCGATATGAGTAAATACTATTTAATTTTATACGTATAAATTTCTGTCATTAGAGTGAAATAATAGTTTATTCCTTTTTCAATTAAATCGACCTTTTAATTTGTATTTACAAAATGTTGTACAGTATATGACTTACAACGTTTTGTAACGTGTTCTGTAGCAAGAAACAAACAAATATGTTCACGTAATTCATAAATTACATATCTTTGATATACAAAAACACTCGAATTACAGTTTAAATTGCTATACACATCTACTATGGTTGAATGGCGTACACGGGCTATGGGGTTACTAAGGTCACATTAAAGGAAGATCAATGACCCACAATTCACACGCTCTTCTAAAATAACTTTTACTTAATTGACGGTCAAACGCAACAATGCTTTCTTTGGATGACATAAGGCGTAGTATCTTTGAGTCGTGAGATAATGACAGAAGAAAGTGAAAACTAGACGAATATTATGAATACTTATTCTAACTCAAATTTTCAAAATCGGAACAATGTATGAGTCTAGGTTAGGTAGGGAGATTGTCCACAGAAATAAAAGAAAACTAACTTACTTATTTTCCACTACTAAAACAACATACAATTCATTGAAAACTGATGCTACCCCCAGATATTCTTCCGCAAATGAAGTAATGAACAAGAAAAATGTAACTAATCAGAACAAAAATTGTTTTATATGCATTTGTACCCAGAAATCCGCAATGCAAACTTTATAGTATACGGCATATATGGCCAGCCCACTGCCACTTCAGCTTGCTGACTCTTTGAGCTATGTCGATGACGTCGTTCTCTGTCGAATAACTGTATTTATAATCATTTATCAAATAGAATATAAACTTATAGAATAAAGGATTAAAAGTCCCCATTCTGTCACGGCCAAAACACTCTTCCTTCAACATGTGTAAGATAACTTGCATGCAATTAACTCGCAGTAAAACTCGCCATCAAAAGTCCTCGTTATCATTCTCCATTAAGCTAAATCGTATATAGGACGATGTTTATCTTTTTGTGATGTCGCTTTTCTAGTGCAATTTCCGTTTCATAAGTTTTCAAATCACAAAAGCTCTTAAAACAGTTTTCGCTTCAAAAATTCAAGCCATCGAACAAAAAATTTTAATGTGGTCATAATACGATTCGTAAAGAAAAAAACAGGTTCGAAAGTGAACACAATTTTAAGAACCCATGGTCCGTGATTGACTCGTTATTCGAGAAGAATCGTGACATCTTTGACAAACGAATTCAAATGCGCTGTCCATGCATTGTTAAGAACGAAGCGCTCTTTTCTATTGACCATTGCAAAAGTTTGTGCCCGATTTAACGAAAAACGAATACATTAACTGTGCATGTGTGTGTGTGTGTGACTTGATTAGAATATCGAAATGATTTTGTGTACTAATCTGTCTGTGACATTATTTACTTCGGACAAAATCACTATCAATTCATAGTCAAGATAATTTGATGAATTTTAATTTTAATATTAATAAATTCGATGTCACTTTTTAACATCTAATTTGTCGGTTTCAAATGTATACCAGCATACTAGCTAGCTGATAGTAAGTAAGCATCGTTGTTTAATGTAAAAGACTTCATAGCACCAAGGAATTACTTTTTTTAAATATGAGCATAATCCACTGAATTTCTGAAATTTAAAATCCAAATTATTTTAATTAGTTGCATTTGCATCACTTACATTTGAAACATTAACAAAAAAAAATACTCCAATTCTCTAAATGAATGACTCTCTTCGCCGCATAGTCATCTTCCATTTTTCTAGATGAAAGGCTTTTCATGACGCCCATTACATTCGTCTCTCACAAATGTTCCTAATCAGTGCGAATGTAGGTTTCCCACTTAAGAGACCTAGATCATTTTGGAAACGCTAAACTACTGTATGGAATAATCCTCCTAACGTGCTCATTTAGAAAATTACATTCCCTGTTCACACCGACCACTGATTTACTTATTACTAACGAATACTTCTAAGATTCTGTGTAATAATTTAAAGTGTGAATGTGACTATGAATATGAATCAGCTTTTCTTTTTCTATAAAACGTACTTTTCCGATGTTTTCAGAATAGTATTATTACATCTAATTTTTCACAATAGATTGGTAGACGAGATGGTAATCAGCAGGTGTTATGTGGCTTCCTGGAGCTTATCAACGCCAAGACATGAATGAAGCACCGTAAGATTTTATTACATTATTATTATTTATGAATCACCAACTTGAGATTTTATTATAGTATTTCTTTGTAGGATATTTAATTGAGATCTCATTGAAAATGGATTCTTCGATCACCATCACGAGATATCGTATTGAATTTAAAGGTTAAAACTTTAGAGATAGGGTAAGTAGCAACAAACAAGCAGCTAGTAAACAGAAGGCAGTTTCGTAAGAAAATGGTTATAATGCCGTTATCGCAGAGAGCTTAGGGAATTTATAGCAGTGATCCCAGTTGGCTCGCAAAGCAAAACTATATCTCCTGATAAATATCAGAACAGACTACTGCCTGTTAGAGGCAGAGTATAAAGAACCTGTGACCTAAAATAAAGGTGCAAAAAAAAACCATTTTAAATGTTTTTCATCATGTATCATAGGGATCAAGAGGGAGACGAGGATACCCAAGGTCCTCCACCTCCCCGAATACCTCGCAGGAGACTACGCCTTGAAAAAGGCGCGCGAAGCACTTGCCCCGCAGAACGACTACCGATTAAACCCCATCGAGCTCCACCACACCGGCTACACCATACCTACGGTACCGCAGTGTGCACCGAAAGTCCGCCTTCGCCGGTATCCGTCCTGATGATAAGACGGGATTTCATCTCCGGGAAAATCCCGAAGGACGTAATTTCGGGAGATACACCGTGGGCGGCGCACAGGAGCCATCTTGCACCGCCCCATCACCGCACCGACAGTCGAGTACCGGGCGCCCCCGCATCCGCCACCTGATAGTCCCTACGGGGGCTGAGCGGGAGCTTCACGCCCGCGCCGCCCACCCCTCCGTCTGCGCTGAGGTGCTGAAGAGAGATCCCACTCCCTTTCGCGCTCCTCAGCCTCACGGGACGCTATTACCAGGTCACAAAACCTGGCCATGGCCTCCTACGAGCCCTAATCCTCTAACATGCGGGTGACGACAGCCCGCAGGGAGAGGTCTCTCCCCAGCACCGCGACGAGATCTCGCCGCGAGTGAACATTTAGGAAATATGTTGTCAACTGTCGTCGTTGCGGATTAAACTCAAACTGCAGTATAGGAAGCACTTATTTATTCCACACGCACCTTAAAATCGTATACATTAACAATCAATTGGTTTTTATCCTTTGAACCTTTTAAAAACGTAAAACACAAATTTTTATCTCATGACATTTTTTCCTCAATCTGACAGCCTGTCTTTCTTTTTTTCCGGACGTCTCCCGTTGTTAATCTGTGTGTGAAAAACCATTCACCACACCACACCCCCACGGAGAAAGATACGCCAGTTGAGAACCCTTAATCAAAATTATCACTATACTCTT